GCGATAAAGATGGAATGACCAGGCCTGCATGCCTGCCCCAGGGATACGCAGTAAATTAAAGATTATACTGTAATAGAGGCGGGGTCGCTCAGTGGCATAAGTGCCTGCCTGACAAGCACGAGGTCTTGAGTTCAATCCTCAGTACCAAAAAAAAAAAAAAAAAAAAAAGATTATACTATAATTGATATCATCTGGCCAAAGAAAGTTTAGATAGACATCAGTCTCCCAGGTGTAACCAGACCCTCTGGACCCACCCCCTCCTAAAAATGCCTCTGTTCTTTCCATGCACCCCTGCTACGTGACCGGGTCAGCATTACCTCAGCAGCTCTACTTGTAATCCTATGGGTCATCAGCGTTTGAGCCACATGGTACCCACCTTGTGATTTTGCTCTATAATAAACATTCTCAGAGAGGTGGGTTCTGTGGCGACCCACTTTGGGGACCCCTCCTGTCTCTCAGGAGTTATTACCCCTCTCCAAATTTTGCTACTGTGCCTTAGAATTCATTCTTTGATTTCCGGGGACACAAACTTGGTGTATCTGTCCTCGAGCAGGTTGGGGGTGACATTTTTCCCTGATGGCTCTCGCCTCTGCACCTGCCCACCCCAAGGGAGCCCAGGCCCTCTCCTGACCTGCTCAAAGCGGAGGACAGAGGAAGCGCACTAGGCTCCTTCCTTCAGGAGAGGGAGGCCCAGAACCCAGCTCTGCACCCCACACTCCCGGGTTCCCACAGCCTCCCCACACGCTAGGACAGCTGGCCTCCCTTCAGGAACAGCTCAAAGTCAAATTTAAACAGAACGTCTCTCTGGGGACATTCCCCTCCCAGGGTGGTGGTTATTTTGGGGCCCGGATGTGAAAATCCCCCAAAGGGAGAGATGTCATTTCTCAGTGACCCTCCGTTCTCCAAGGGTAAGCTGGGGACTAGGAAATCAGGGATCAGGGACCCAGAGGCCGAGGTCAGATTACTGAGGTTCAGGAAATCACAGCTACCCTGGTGGGTCCCGCAGAGACCATGACCCATGCAGGAATCCTGAAATCCTGACTGCGCGGCCCTATGCATCCTCCACCAGGGGTCACAGCCACACTGCCCACCCGGGACCCAGCCCTCGGACTCCTCAGGTCGCCTCGGTTCTCTCACCAATGCACCCCACCACCACTTTTTGCAGAGGGGATGACCGGAAGGGACAGACTGAATCACTGTAGGGGCCAAGCTGGGAAAGGCCTGGAGACCGGATTCGGGGCTTCCGGAGAGCCCCAGGGTCCCCGCCCGCCCGAGCCGGCCGCCGCCTGAGCATTTATGGTAATGTTTGAGTTGATGCGCGGCCGGATGCCCCGCCTTCCCCGGCCTCCGCCGGGTAGGTCTTGGGGAGCAGGGCTCGGGGCTCCCAGAGGAGCCCAGCGCTGGCGCCTTCCCGCCGCTGCCGAAGCCCGGTGCGGGCGCGGGGTGCAGGGCGCGGAGGTCAGGCAGGTGGCTGGCGCGCGGCCAGCGCCCCCCCACCCCGGGTCAGGGGACCGGAGGGCCGGACTTGGGCCAGGATGGGAAGGCCGTGACCCTTCCTGGCACCGCTGCTACTGCTCTCCCGTGCTGTCTGTCCCTGGTCCCCAGAAAGCGTCCCCATGCACCCACATCCTCTTTCTCCTGCTCCCCCCCCCCAGCTCCCCGGCAGGGAGGGGGCGGAGAGGAGAGGCCGGCAGCTCCCAGGGGAGTCCCGGGAATGCTGCAAGCCTGGGAACCGACCCCGCAGTTCCTGGGAAAGCCAGGCGGAGGGAATCCCACCATCAGCCCCCTCCCCAGGAAGCGCCCCTGGATGCCTGAGCCCTCAGCTCCCCAACAGGGGGTTTGCGAGGAGGGTGGAACCCCAGCCCCAGCGTCACCCCAAGCCTAGCCTAGCCCGACCCGGAGTTCACTAGGCCAGCTGGGCAGCCGCCCCTCCCCCGGCCTGCGCTCCCCCTGCCTGCTCCAGCATAAGCCTGGCCTTTGTGCCACCACTCCCAGCTCCCCCTTCTCCAGACCCCTGCACAATGGGGCCTTTGCAGCCTCCAGGGTGGGGACGAACTCACTCAGGGTTTTTACGAGTTTAAAAATAGCCCATCCCCCAAGTCACCCTCCCCGCCTCCCATGCCGCCCCTGAGGCACACCTCCATCCTGAATGCACCCCCTTCCTTCTGTCCTGGGTCAGGTGCAAGGACATGGGTGAGACTGTGTTGGGAGCCAAGAGCGGGGGTGCTTCCCCTCATTCAATCTCTTACCCATATCTTCCACTCGGCCCTCCAGTATCCGGTTTCCTGGCCCTGGGATGTTCGCGGCAGCAACTGCCCCCCACCCGCCGCCCGCCCACCCTGCACAGTCTCCTTCCAGTCAGACCCCGCTGTGGAAGGGGTTTCCAGTGAGACGGGGTGGGTCATACTTTCTGGCCAGGCTAGGGGGTTCCCAAGACTCCACAGTTACCAAGATTGCCGGGCCACCCCCAGCCCACCCCACCTTCCCCTCCTCGCAGCTGCAAATGTCTTTCTCAGCTTCCTTCCTCTTCCTCAGCCAGGCGACCTGCTTACATCCTCCTGATACGGGCCCTGCACCAGAAGGTGCCCCTAAGAGCCCAGGGAAACTCCGGGCTCCAGGCTCTCCCTGTCCTTGTCCTTCTACTGCCCACTCTCCTCTCCTCCACTTAAACTGGGGTCGAGGGCCCCACCCACCCTAGAACCACAGCCCGCCTCAGTTTCTCCACTAGTGGTCAGACCTGCCAGAGAGGCACACAGGGTATCCCACACAGAAGGGCCTCATCCTGGGTGCCCGCCTGTATGGGTGGAGGAAAGCAACAGTCCGGCCGCCTCCAGAGGGAAGTGAGGCAGAGGATTAGGACTCTGCCCCCAGAGGCCTCCTCTTCTGGCCTTGGTCTACATCTGGGCAAGGCTGCTCCCACCAGGTGCTTGAGTCTCTGCCCATACTCTCCATCCCCTGCTGCTGAGCCTCAGTCCTCTCGTACTGGGAACTCTGTTGCTGCTACAGCAGCTGGAACCTGTGTCTTAGAGGACCTGAAGGAGATACCCTCTGCCTCCCGCCCTGCTCTCCTGGATTCACTCTGGTCACCTCTGAATCCTCTCCTAGGTCCTGACCCCACTTTGGTTTGGAATCCCAAAATGCTTCCTCCCCAGAAGCATCCCTAAACCCGAGTGTCCTGACCTCTCCCACCCACACTGTCCCAGCTCCAGGTTACTGTCTGTTTTAAAGGACAATCTCTGGTACCAATCTGCTGGTACCAAGCAGAGGAGCCGCTGCTATCATACTGGGCTTTAATCTTATTTCCCTTTCACTGCAGAGGCTCCTCCAACCCCCACCTGGCTTTAAGGCTCCTAAGGACGGGAAGGAGAATTCGGAACTGACTGTCCTTGGTGGTTAGCTGACTTTGTTTTCAGGCCACCGAAAAGAAAATCATTAGTTAATGGTGTTAAGTGAAAAGGAGGGGGTAGGGCTGAGGAGCGGCTCCATGCCCCGCTCCGGGCCTGCCAGGGCAAACATCCTTCAAGCCAGCCTCCGTCCTGCCCTGCAGACAAACGCATGCAGTCGTTCTGGTCTGCTCCAGGCTCTGGGCCCCAAGCCAAAGCCATGCATTCACCCTGGGGGGCCGGGAGCCAGGGTCCTCTTCTGGCTCTGGCTCTCTTCCCTCAGGCTCCAGGGCCCTGGCCTGACTGACTGGCTTGACTTGGCCTCTGGTTGGAGACTAATGGACAGGGAGGAGGGGTCAGAAGGCTGAAAGACAGGGCTGATGCAGTTTGCCAGTCATCTCTGCGTCAGCAGAGCATTCTCTCAAGTCACCCAGCCTTCTCTGGCTTCCTGGCCTCACCCTGCTCCTCCCCTGCCTAGCAGGATGGCTGCCTGCTGGGTGACAGACCTCTACCCCAAACCACATAGACCTTCCTTGGGGGATGAGTTTCGGCACACAGGGCCCCTTTCACAAGGCCAAGGTGCTGGGGTCTCTGTGAGGCAGGAGCCACTCTGTTCTAGCAAGAGGCTGGAAGACCCGGAGAGATGTTGGGGTTTGCCACCTTGCCCTGTGGCAAAGCCAGCTCAGGCAAAGATGCAGCAGGGTCCAAATCCTCCAGGCAGCTGTCCTCCAGCTGCTAAGCTGCAGCCAATGGGGTCTCAGGAGGAGCTGGGGGACCTTAGCGCTGTGGGGTCTCTTTGTGCCTCAGGGTGAGCAAGGGACTTCTGGGGGGGGGGTGAAGCTGGGGACTCTGCATCCATGAACTCTCCCTTCTCTTTTCTTCGTTCAGGGGAAACTGAGTCCCAGGCCAGGCTCAAGGAGTGAAGAGGGCAGAAATAAAATTTTCAAGCTCGGGCCTGGACCAGCATGAATACCCCGGGCCTGTGAATCCTGCCTTTTCCTCTCTCCTCTAGGCCAGGCAGACTTGCTTGGCTTGGTGGAGGACGACATTCAGGCGGCCCTGTCTCCACTCCCCCTGCAGGTACCTCTGGATCTGTGGTACCTGGCACAGGTTCTTTCCCAGAGCTGCCAGGGCTGCGAGGAGGCTGGAGGGTAGCGCCAGACCAGACCGGCGGCAGCCGCAATGGAGCAATCACTCTGGGAGGTGACCAAGGCCCCCCGATTGCTCTGTGGTGGGGCAGTGGAGCCCGAATGGGAAGCCCCCACCGGGGACATTGAGGACTGGTCCGTTACTGCTCCAGCAGGAGGTCCCCAAGGCGACACGGATGGCAGGGCAGAGCGGGGTGGGTGCTGCTGTTGCAGCGACGCTAGGCATCCGGGCCAACTTGTCGCTGCCGCCTTGGCCAGTCAGCCCGGCTCTAGGACACCTGTCACTGCCCCCTCTGCCTTCCCAAGCTGGAGGGTGCAGGGGCTGCTCCGGCCTGCTCCAGCCGCGCTCCCGGGCGGGCGCAGCTCCGGCCAGCGCCGGGCCCGCCCCTTAGGGCTGCGGCTGGCGGGGAGGGGGCGGGGGGCTGCGCAGGGCGGGGCGGGCAGCGCGGGGCCCCCTCCCCCGCCCCCCTGACGTCAGCCCCCGACAGCCGCGAGCTGCTCACTTGGCTCTCGCCCTTCGGCCGGGAAGCATGGGGCTGCCCAGGCTGGTCTGCGCCTTCGTGCTCGCCTTGTGCTACTGCGGTCGCCGCGCCTCGGGTGAGTGGGTTCTTGGGGACCCGTGCCCCGCGGCGGTCGGGCCGAGGTCTCTGGCCGGGTATGCGAGGAGCGGCGCCCGAAGCTCGGCGGGGTCGGGGCTCTGCCCCTGCCGGCTCTCACCCTGCCCGCGTCCTCCGTCCCGGGCGTCTCGCGCGCGTGCAACTCTTGCAGCCAGTTTGCAGCCCGAATCTCCTACAGTATCCCGGGAGCGGGACCCGGGAGGCGGGGAGCAGGCTGCGACCCCTAGCGGGAAGGGGTGGAGCCGAGCCTCTGGGGGAGCGTGGGGGGGTCTTCCCTGCAGGTGCTCACCCTGGGGACCCGCAGTTGCAGCCTGAGCGGGAGGCGCAGCTAGGGCGCATCCCCGGCCCCCGATCCCGCTCCTGCCTGTTGCTGAAAAAGGCAGCTTCCTAGTTCGAGGGGTGCGCCGCCCCCTCCCCCCGTCCGGGCCGCACGCCAGGCTGGAGGTGAGCGGGAGGCGGAGGGACAGCGCTCTCGCCTGGTTGGGCGTTGGCAGTGACTGCGCGCGGTGTGGGTCCCCCGGCGCCTCCCCGGGTTGAGGTGTGTGTGACAGGATCACAGGTGGCAGAGACGAGAGATGGAGGATTTCCAGAGTGAAAGCGCCTGCACACGTATTTGGGGGACCACGGTCAGGTGGAAGAGAGCCATGACACCTCAGAGCTTAGCGCCCGCGGCAGCGCGTTCCTCCTGGCTTCTCACTCCAGCCCCAGACGCTGTTGGGCCGGGGAGAGGAAGACTGGGCATTGCCCATTTCCAGCGCTCAGGCCCTGCCAACCACGTCCCTAGGGTACTCCAGTCTCCTGCCTCCCGGGCTAACAATTCCGGGGAAAGGGCTAAACTCGGTGCCATGCTGTACCACGTCCAACCCCATCCTGCCTCCTCCCTCAGGGGAAACAGAGTCAGTCAGGGACCAGAGACCTCTGTTCCCAGCTGAAGACCACTGTGCCTGCCGTTTTTGCCTGGGAGCCAGCACAGGGCAACCCAGGCATCCCAGGGTCCAGGCAGATGGTGCTGAGTGACATCACCTCCTCACAGAGCTGGCAGCATGCTGGCACCACTGACATCACTCCTGCCCACTGCCTGGCCATGGCCCTGACCCTGAGGGAGATTCTGACCCCTGTGTACTACCACATTCCCCGTGTGCGGAATATTCATTGAGAATATGAGATGGGAGCTTTGGTTGCAGTTGTCCACTGGGCCTTCTGGGAGACTTAGGGAGGAGACTTTGGGGGCAGAGGATAGAGTAGTGACGTCTTCCACTGGGGGTGAGACACAAAGGGGCCTGTGTGCCCAGCCTGGCACATGCCTCGCATTCTCACACTCTGAGCTCACTCAGAGAGAGGGGAGGGGGCCCAGGAGGAAAGGGACCTTCCTCTTGGCCCTGAACTTGCATTGCCCTTTGCCAGCCTCTGCCAGCAGGTGTCCGGTGCCCAGTCACTGCCCAAGAACCAGGGATCACCTGCACTGGAGAGGTCGGGTGGAGACATGGGGTGTCAGGACAGGGCAAGGCTTCCTCTAGACCTTCCTGCTGCCAAACAGCTGCAGTGAGCGTGGGAGGGGGCAGTTAGGGCTGACGCAGCTGCTGGAGTGCCCCCTCCTTCGCCCCAGGTGTGCCTGGAGAGGCAGAGCAGCCCACACCCGAGCTGGTGGAGGTGGAAGTGGGCAGCACGGCCCTTCTGAGGTGCCCCTTGGACGCCCCAGGCAACCTCAGCCATGTGGACTGGTTTGTTGTGAGTGCCAGGGCCCAACGGGCAGGGGTGGAGGTGGAGGCTCTGCCCCCAGGTGGCCCCAGCACCCTGGCCTCTCTGTCCCCTCTACCCAGGTCCACAAGGAGAAGCGAACGCCCATCTTCCATGTGCGCCAGGGCCAGGGCCAGAGCGAACCGGGCGAGTACCAACACCGCCTCAGCCTCCAGGGCCCAGGGACCGCTCTGGCCGTGGCTCAAGTTGGCCCTCACGATGAGCGAGTCTTCCTATGTCAGAGCAGGCGCCCCCGATCACAGGAGCACCGCATCCAGCTCCGAGTCTACAGTGAGTGTCCCGCCCTGTTCCTGCCTTGGGGGCGCTGTGGGTCACAGACCTGGGTCTGAGGCTCCTGCTCATTTCCTTTCCCTTGTAGAAGCTCCAGAGGAGCCAACCATCCAGATCAGTTCCAAGGGCATCTCCGTTTACAGCCAGGAGCCACAGGAGGTGAGCTGTGCCTGGGTACCAGGTGGCAAGTGGGTGGAGGGCGAAGCTGGGGCTCAGTGGATAAGCAGGAGGCTCACTCACACCCTGTCCTCTCAGGTTGCCACCTGCATGGGGAGGAATGGATACCCCCTCCCTCAGGTCGTCTGGTACAAGAACAGACAGGCCCTGAAGGAGGAGAAGAATCGTGAGTGGTCCTTGCTGCTCGGGCCGCCTTGCCTTTCCCTGTAGCTTTGACTTGAGAAGCAAAGTGTGCTAATATTCTTGTTAGAATTGAGACTACAGAAAAGCCAGGCATCCCATCCTGCCCAGACCCTTCTCACTCACAGCCTCTGCTATCATTCGTGACTAGGTGCTTTTAGGCCTATTTCAGTACTGGGGAATGAAACCACAGCCTTCACACTGAGCTACATCCCAGCCCCTTTTGGCTTTCACGCAGGGCCGCAATAAATCCCCAAGTTACCCAGGCCACCTCAGGCTCCCACTGTTCTGGGATTACAAGCATGGGCCACCATGCCCAGGTGTTTGTGTGTGTGTGTCCAGGCCAGCCTTGAATTTGCTGTATATCCCAGTCTGGCTCCGAATTCATGATCCTCCTATCTCATTCTCCTGAGTGACATACAAATATTTCTAGAAGCATAGATCAGTGGTGATTTTTTCTTCTTTTTTTGTGCTTTTGAGACTGGGTCTCACTAGGCAGTTCAGGCTGGCCTTGAGCTCACTTTGTAGCCCAGGCTGGGCAACAAACTCACAGCGATCCTCCTGCCTCAGCCTCCTGAGTGCTAGAATTACAGGTGTGAGCCACCACGCCTGGCTTCAGTAATGATTTTGCACTGCCCCTGCTGCCAGGACACTTGGCGATCTGGAGGTGCTTTGGTTATCACAAGTCTAGGAGTGGCAAAGGCTGAACACCCTGCATTGTACAGGTCAGCCCCACTGCAAAGAATTAATTCTGGCCTAGAACATCAATAATGCTGAGCTGGAGAAAGCCTGACCACAGAGGGAGTATGTGGCGCCCTCTGCTCTGTGGTTTATTTTGTGTCATCTTTCCAGATCAGTCTGTTAGGATGTACTGACAAGTTTGTCCACTACTCAGGTTTGCAGACTGTGTTCATTATGATTTATTTAGTTAATCGCTTTGCTGCTAGCACTGCACAGTGTTTCTGGTTTTTCTACTAACCCTGGCTATTTGGGGTGAGGAGATCAAACTCAGGGTCTTGCGTGTGCCAAGCATAGGCCCTACCCTGAGCCACCTCGTGGCCCCCTGCTTTATTCCTCACTGTGACCCTCCTGGCCCACACCCTTGTGTGTGCTGCGTGTCTAGAGGAGATACCCAGCAGTAAAAATGTTGACTTGAATTGACTCCTTGAGTTTGATCGTGGTCCTCTTCGTTTTTCATGGCACTGGGATTGAACCCAAGGTCTTCACACTGAACCACACACCTCCCTAGCCTTTTTATTTTTATTCTGAGACAGCATTTCACTAAGTCACTAAGTTTCCCGGGCTAGGCTGTTAACATGCAGTCATCCTGTCTCAGCCTCCTAGACTGCTGGGATTACAGGTGTGCACTTTCGCTCCTGTCTAATAGATAGGGGTCCTGAGGTGGCCTCCTGCCAACCCTGTTGAAGACCACAGGGTAGGATGAGGCTGAGCCCTAATCCTGCCCTCCCTGTCCAGGCATCCACATTCAGTCGTCACAGATCGTAGAGTCGAACGGCTTGTACACCTTGCAGAGCATCCTGAAGGCTCAGCTGGTTAAGGAAGACAAGGATGCCCAGTTTTACTGTGAGCTCAGCTACCGGCTGCCCAGTGGAAACCACATGAAAGAATCTAGGGAAGTCACTGTCCCCGTTTTCTGTGAGTACTGAGCTAGGCCTCTGCTTGCTGGGGTGGGCCTGGTGGAAACTCCTGTGGGCCTTCTGGGAGACTTAGGGAGTCTCCCATCCAGTCTCGGGCTACTTCCTGGGTTGAGAACAACCTTTCTTGGCACATGCAGACCCTGCAGAAAGGGTATGGTTGGAAGTGGAGCCCGTGGGAATGCTGAAGGAAGGGGACCACGTGGAAATCAGGTGTCTGACTGATGGCAATCCTGCGCCCCACTTCACCATCAGCAAGAAGGTTTGCAGGCCTCCAGGTTGGATGCAGAGGGTGCAGGGATGAGGGGTATGGTGGGGCATGCTCTGCTCACCTCTGCAACCTCTCCCAGAACCCAAACACCAAGGAGATGGAGGAGCAGGAAACCCCTGACAATGGCATCCTGGTCTTGGATCCTGCCCAGAAGCAGCACAGCGGGGACTACCAGTGTCAGAGCTTGGACTTGGAAGACATGACATCACTGTCAAGTGAAACCCAGGAGCTTCTGGTGAACTGTGAGGGGCTGGGGCCCAGGACAGGGGGACCTGGCTGGGTCAAGATGGGACTAGCCCTGTCCTGCCCAGGCTGACATTACTGCTGTGCCTCCAGATGTGTCAGATGTTGAAGTGAGTCCCGCAGTGCCCGAGGGCCAGGAAGGCAGCAGCCTCACACTGACCTGTAAGGCAGAGAGTAACCAGGACCTTGAGTTCCAGTGGCTGAGAGAAAAGGTACCCGGGGAGTCTGCGAATGAGGGTGACAACAGCTTGCTCCTTCCCAGACCCTCTGACCCGCCTTTCCCCTAGACAGGCCAGGTGCTGCAAGAGGGGTCAACACTTCAATTACTGGACCTGAAACGGGAGGCAGAGGGTGGCTACCGCTGCATGGCATATGTGCCCAGTGTACCAGGCCTGAACCGCACACAGCTGGTCAATGTGGTCATTTTTGGTGAGGCCCTTGGGGCAGAGCCCAAGTCAGCCCACACTGGGTGGTTTTGAACTCTTTGAGATCAAAAAGCCACCCGATGCCCCGGGAGCTTCTGAGGGAGGACGAGGCTGGCTAAGCAGGCATGTGCTCACACTCTCCTGACCTACCCAAGGGCCCCCCTGGATGGCAGTAAGAGAGAAGAGAGTGTGGGTGAAAGAGGACACAGTGCAAAACCTGACCTGTGAGGCATCAGGGCACCCTCGACCTGTCATCTCCTGGAACGTCAAGGGCATGGTGAGAGGCCCAGCTCTGATTAACCCCTGCCCAGCCCAGACTTTGCACGGTGATCACTGGAGATCCTCCCTGCTGCAAACCCTCCTGAGCTGTCTCCTTCCTCATAGGAAAGTAAACAAGAAGAGCTCGACCCACAGAGGGTACTGGGCACCCTGAGTGTCCTTGTGACCCCAGAGCTGCTGGAGACAGGCGTACAATGCACAGCTTCCAACTCCCTGGGCAGAAACACCACCACCATCTTCCTGACGCAGGGTGAGGGCCGCCTCCCTGCAGAGGATGGCAGGGCACGCCCAGGCTCGGGCACTAACCTGAGCTTCTCCTAACTCCCCTCTGCCTCCCAGTCGGCTTAACCACCCTCACACCAGACTCCAGCACAGCTGCTGGCCCCAGCACCTCCACAGTCAGTCTCAGTCCTCATGCCAGAGCCAACAGCACCTCCCCAGGTAAGTGGGGCCTGGCGAGAAAACAGGGCCAGCTCTACCCCCCTCCCCCTCCCCCTCCCCCAGGGAGCCCTGCAGAGCGGTGAGTGGCGGCTAATCTTCTGTCATCCTGGGCTGGGCTGAGATGGCAATGTGGCGACCCAGTGCAGGCAGTGACCTCAAGGATCTTTGTGCCATAGAAAAAAAGCTGCCAGAGCAGGAGAGCAAGGGCGTGGTCATCGTGGCTGTGATTGTGTGCATCCTGGTCCTGGCTCTGCTGGGCGCCGTCCTCTATTTCTTCTACAAGAAGGGCAAGCTGCCCTGTGGGCGGTCAGGCAAACAGGAGATGTAAGCATGGGCCGAGCCCTTAGCCTGCTGTCATTCCCTGCTGCCCAGCTTGCTGCTCCTAAGGGACATTCCTATCCGCCTTGGTGCCCCTCACCCCAGAGGAGCAGCAGAGGGACCCTGGGTTGGGGCGATCCCTGCTTCACTGCCTGCTGCCCAGCTGCCATCAGTCATACCTTCTCCAAAATTATCTGCCTCCCTCCCTGAGTTGGCCCCAGAGTACCAGAGTCCAGGCAGCGCCCTTCCCAGTGGGCCCTGTCCTTCCGTCCCCCAGTGCCAACCTCTTGCCTCCCTCCTCCCAGCACGATGCCCCCGTCTCGTAAGAGTGAATTTGTAGTTGAAGTTAAGTCAGATAAGCTCCCAGAAGAGATGGGCCTCCTACAGGGCAGCACCGCTGACAAGAGGGCTCCAGGAGACCAGGTAGGAGGCGGTTCCTGCGGCCAGTGCTCAGTGCTCAGGTACTGGGGCGACGGGCGAATGGTGCTCATCCTCTGAACACTAACTCCTCCCGCCTTCCTCCTCCTCGGTTGGAGAGAGAGGGAGCAGCCCCTCTTGTCTCCTTAACATGACTCACAGACGACAGGCAAGGCAAGGGGCAGAGAGACCCCAGAGGAAGACAGAGCAAAGTCCCCATCGCATTACTGTCTTTTTGTAAACAACCCTGTGACTGTGACCGCTAAGTCTCACATGTGGCTGCCACTTCCCGAGCACCGAGGCAGTGGCAGGCCGCTTGTCCTCCTCTGGCCCCCACACCCATCCCTGCTTCTTCCCTGCCCTAGGCTGCTGTCCATCGGCTTTTGCTTGTCCAGCCTCTTGTAGGGCTCACACCGGGACTACCCTCTTACTCCTCCCCTCCGCCTGTTTTTCAGGGAGAGAAATACATCGATGTGAGGCATTAGCCCCTGAGCCCCACTCAGCTCCTAGTCTGGAATGTTTCTGCCTCCCTGCTCACTCTTCTCCCCAGCCAAAGCCCCCAAAGAGACTACAGAGAAGACCCGTTCCACACCTGCAGACTGTTCCAGAGGCCCACCGGGCCCCTTCCATCCTGGGAAGGACCTCACTTAACCCTGGAGGCCCCCTTTCAGAGCCTGGGCCGTGCTCATGCCAAGAAGGGGTCCAGTCTCCCGAGGGTGGGCGAGTTTCTTACAGGAAGTGTTTTCTCTGTACAGTGGTATGGCTGTAGAACTATCTTTGCCCAGCAGTGGCGAGGGGGGGCCCCTCTGTGACTGTTTTCTGCCCCTCAGGCTGGCACCAGTAACTCAGCTGTACCCCTGAAATGAGGGTGCAGCGGGGCCCATGCACTTGTTTAGTGTCAAGATGTTGCCCATTCTGGCTCAGGACAATACCCAGCCATACCCAGAGCCAGCTGCATAGCCCAGATGTCTTCCTGCTCACCCTCTGGAGTTTTTTCTGTGACTGGGTCTCACTACGTAGTGCAGGCTGGCCTTAAACTTGCTCACGCAGAACCAGGCTGGCCTTGTAATCTCCCAGTCCGCCTGCCTCAGGCTCCCAAGTGCTGGGATTCAGGCATACACCACCATGCTCAGCCTTGAGGTCACTTTTGTGATTCTTTCCTTGGGGCAGAAGCCAGGTATCATTCCTTCAAAGACCTGCCCCTGCAGTGAGGCAGCTGGGCCGTTCCATGTGGAGGCCACTGAACCTGAGGCCCCTGCGTTTGTGTGGCTTCCATACCCTTTCCGAGGGGGCATATGAGTCAGCAAGGTGGGAGCTGGGGATGACGGTAAGGTCCACTGGCCTTCGTGGGGTTAAGTACCAAGGGTGTATGCAATTATGTCACACCAGATTTCTACACACTGAGCTACCAACCAAGACCCACCAAAGAAAGACTCAAATGGGAGAATGGTACTTAGGGATGAAAAACGGGGCCTGGTCAGAGCTTTGGGGCGCGTCTATGTGTGCCCACACCCATGTGTGTATGTGTATATATATATATGTATATGTATATGGTTTTGTGTGTAAATTTGCAAACAGTTTCCTTTTATATATATAAGAAAAATAAAGCTTAACTGTGCTAGGAATCTCAGCTTGCTTGCTGCTCTCATCATGGATTACCAAAAGCACCTGGGGGGCTCTGACCAGCAACCGCACCAAAATGAATGCAGACCCCCCCGCAGTCAGCGGAGGGACCTGGGTTCCCTTTCTGAGCAAATGGGTCCAGCTCTACCAGACGGGGCTGCTGCCGTTTCCCAGCTATTCAGAGGGCCTGGGCCACCTTCCCATGCTTCTGTTACTGAGTGCTGCCTTGTGGTGACAGCGGTCTCTGCCCTGGCAGCTGGGCCCAGGGCTGCCGTGAGGCACCACCTTCCAGCCCCATCAAGCAAGAATTCAAGTCAGCTACGATAAAAGAAACTTTATTTAAAAATATTTTTTTTTTACAGACATGGGTGCTTGAAAAAGCTCTTTAGTTAACTGTATATGGAAATGAAAAAATTAATAAATAACATTAGTATAACAGATCTCTAACATTAATACATTGGCAAAACAAAATGGACTTGAAAATGAATCTTAAAGCTCTGCTATTCTCCGTAAGAATATTTACCTTCTGTTTTTCTTATTCTTTACAGGTGAGAATGATTAAATACTGCTAATATAAATTTTTAAATTAATGACACAGTTTTTAAAATAGTCCATGAAAAATCTCATCTAAGTGTATTTTGTTTTCTTCTTAACACTGATATACAAATTGGGATTCATCATTCTGGAGAAAACACCCAAGTTCTCCCCAGCCCCACCCAGGCCAAGAATTTCAAAATCTTGAATAAGAAGGGCCATAAAGAGAACTGTTTCTATCTTCCAATTATTAGTTAAAGGCAGGGAAGAACTGAAGGATGAGAGATAAGCAAAATGTCACTGCATGAAAACGTTTTTTTCCCTGAACCCTATTACAGCCACCACACCTCCGGGCCTCTGGTGTGTTCCTTGTGGCCTCTGCCCCGGGAAAATGAGACGCTGTAGGGGACGTAGCTGTTTAATGCTTTAAGTCTGAAGCCTTCAACTGAAAGGAGAGCAACTCTTGAGAGACAGGCCTGTGGCGGCTCAGAATCCAGCAAAAGCAACGAGGCTGATCAGACTTCCTGGCCTTCCGGGCAGACCACGCTGGGCGGCGTTGGCACACCCGGAAATTGTCCCACAGGGGGCAAAATATCCAATCTGATAGTTAAGCTGCTGAATGAATCAACCAGATGACGCCAGGGTATAGGGGAAAGGGACCACAGACACACTGCACCCCTGTGCCACCTCCCATCTACAGAAGGACTGCCTGTCCCCAAGATTCTAGGGTTAGGATACTAAAGCGGAGAAGCTCAGACTCTGGTGTTTCCATATTAAGTCCTAAAATGCAGCCTGGGATACAGTGCTGCCTTAGAAAGGCACAAAACATTTGGCTTTTTTTTTTTTCAGTGTGCTAAAAATTGTTTTGTTTTGAATAAAGAAAAAAAGATATATAAGGTTAAAAGCGCCAAGTCACCACAGCCGAAAGGCAGACAGAGGAGGTGCCTCACAGCTGCCAGGCCCTACCCCATTTCAGCAGGAACTGAGGCTTTTCATTCAAGGCCAAGACACTCGAATAGTGCCAAGCAGGGCAGGTCAGGAGGCATCCGCTCTCCCTGGCACTGTGCAGGCTCCCTCATCGCAGCACAAGAAGGGCAGAGAGGAGCGCGTGCTCTGCAGATGCCTCAGCAGACCTGAGCCTCTTCTGTTTCAAGACAGCCATCCTGGCACAGCTACCCTCATCTACCCTAAGGTCAGAGGGAGGAAGGGAGGAAGAAAGCAAAGCACAGGCCCAGCACACACCGCCTCGGGGCCTGCACAGGGGCCCGCACAGGGAAGCGGCCCCAAGCCCAGGAGCTGCCCGGCTGCGCCTGGGCCTCTCTGCTTCCTGGGTGGAGGCAGGCATGGGCCAGGCGATGCGGGGACCACCTCTCATTCATTGCTGGGACTGAATCAGGAATACAGGATCAGGTGATGAGAACTTTGTGGATGTTTTAGCTGCCAGGTCAGTAGATTTAAGGTTGGCTTTCTGCCTTAGCTCTGTACAAACAAAGGGAGTGGTGAGCCACATTTTTTTCACGCACTATACTAGGGAAAGTGCAGCAAGATCTCCAAACAGCTGCTATTCTGTTAGTCAACAGCTGGCCCCTCCACAGTGCAGCTTCTATGCAACCTGCAGCATGTGCAGAGCTCGTGCTCCCTCTCCTGTTTCCCCATCGTACTCTTGCGCTACTTTCTGGAACCAAGAAACACTGGCAATTGCCCCCTGTGGACAGCGCAGATTTTCTGGGACACTGTGAAGGCACAAGGCATTACTGTCCCTCTGCTCCTTCACTCAGGAGCCTGAACTACACCATCAAGTGGGAAGTTTGATGCCATGCCCTTCCTATGTACCTCAATGTGTATTTCTGGATGTTTAGGTTACTTGTTTATCAAATGACTCTAGTGGTTTAAAAAAAGTTTTAAACAAGGCAGTACAAAATGCCTCACAACTCAGCACTGGCCCTAGGACAGGATAAGTAGGATCCAAAGATCCAGGCAAGCAGCAGCATAGCTTTAAAAAAATTTTTAAAAAGCTTTAACACAGGGTCAAGGAAGAATACAGGCAGCCTGTCTAAAAATGCGTAGGGGTGGGGTTTTAAAAAAAACCATAGCCAGGGGCCGAGGATTTAGCTCAGTGGCATAAGCACCTGCCTTGCAAGCTCAAGGTCATGAGTTCCATCCCTAGCACCAAAAAAATCCAAACCCGAACCCAAACTAAAAACCGTAAGTGGGCATGGTGGCTCACACTTGTAATCCCATTACTCAGGAGGCTGAGGCAGGGGGATCAATGCAAGTTCGAGGCCAGCCTGGGCTACAAAGTGAGCTCAAGGCCAGCCTGAACTGCATAGCGAGACCCTGTCTCAAAAAGACCAAAAAAAGAAAAAAAAAAAAACCACCCAAAAGAACACCAGATGTGTAGTAATGCTGGGTGTGGTGGTGTGCATCTGCAGTCCAGGCTAATCGGGACACTGAGGTGGGAAGATGTGCGGTAAAAGCTCCGTTCCACGTCACACTCTAGTTTACATCCTGGCAACTGCCCCTACTCTCACCTATTCTTATGGCTGTGAGCAGTCCCCGAGGTGCTTTGGGCACGCGGCTCAAGGACACTGCTGCAGAGCTCCGCTGCCCAGGAGAAAGGGGGTAACGAGGGCTGCAGGAGACAGATACTCAGCACCAAAACCTAAAGAGAGTGCAGAAGCCCAGAGTAGTGGTCACAGTGGGAATCTGTGATCTTCTCTCTAAAAGAAAGAAGGCTAAAAACCTGAGGCTAAATGGAGACTAAGAAATGTCACCTGGGACAAGACTCAAGAAGGAGAAAACTCCTGGAAGCCAAGGCTAATTGGGGGAGGGAGGGATCAAAGGCAGTGACCAGGCAATATTAAACCTAAGGATTTCCTTGATAACTCAGCATGTTCTCAAGCCTGCCTTTCCATCCTCAAAACGACAGGACAGCAGTAGCTCTTCTCCTAGGGCCCAAGTCTTCCCAGAGGCTCTAGGGAGTCCACAGCCTGCTCCTCAGAAGTTCCCAACTCCCAGCTAAAGGACTGTGCTGGTGCTCCCTGGTCTGCCACCACGCCTTGCCCTCGCTGAAAGCCAAGTGGCCTGGAAGGACGCTGATCAATGTGTGAGCTAAACGTATTCATTCTTAAAAATATGAACTGGGACTCTGTGTCATGATTCCTGCAGCTGAAGGCTGTATGAACTTGACCGCTGGGGTGTCTACGTGGGGACCACGCATGCAAACAAACTACAGCAGGAGGAAAGACTTAAGTGCAAAGGGTTACAGTCTCAGCACCATGCAAAGGAATCAACTGGGCTTTCTACCCTGGGTATGACAGACCCTGTGTCCTTAAAATGACCCCCTCCTTTGTGCAGCTTGATCCCTAACTAGGAAAGTTAAAAATAAAATCTTAAGGGGAAAAAATCTGGCTACTGAAGAAAGAGGAACTACAAACAAATGATTCAAGAAATGCAGAAAAAATAGCTGAAAGCTGAGTCCATCTAAAGACACTAGATTGCTGACCAAGCAAAAGATACTTAAAGTTGTAAGAAGACAGACAATCCAAGAGTCCACCAGGGGGATATGGGAGCAGATGCCAGCGCCAGAACCAGGCTGAGAGTGCCCCCTAAGGGCAGACTCAGGCCTTCCCAAGAACCATGGCTCACTTCCTACTGAGGACAAAGAAAAGCAAAAGAACAGCAACTATGTGTGAAAAGGGCCCTCGGAGGTGGACAGGAGGGAGAGGTTATTGTGAACACAGAAATGGTGTGAGAGCCAGGCATGGTGGTGCATGCCTGTCATCTGCCTTTGGGAGGCAGAGGCTGGAAGACCCCACGAGCTCAAGGCCAGCCTGAACTATACAGCGAGACCTTGCCTCAAAACACCAAAAAGAAATGGTGTTAGATCTGCATCCTGGTCTGGAACTTACCCCATCCAATCCCGCCTTTTCCTCCTTCTATCTATTATAGTGCTAGCTCTAATAATTTTCTGCAGTCAAAAAAATCTCAAAAATCGGCCAAGCGTGGTGGCTCATGCCTGTAATCCCAGCACTTGGGAAGCTGAGGTGGGAGGATCATTGCAATTTCGAGAGCTACAAAGTGAGCTCAAGGCCAGCCTGAACTGCAGAGCGAGACCCTGTCTCAAAAAAGACAAAAAAACCCCCCAAAAAACCACACTCAAAAATCATGCTCAGGCTGGATCTGATTCCACCATTAGCCTTGCTCCACGCATTAAATGGCTATGTGCATTCCCAAGGAAAGAGAGCCAAATGCCTGGCATGGGGGCCTCTGCCTGTAATTCCAGCACTCTACGGGCTGGATGTAGGAGGATCACAAGTTTGAGCCCAGCCTGGTGAATGTAGCAAGACTCTGCGTCAAATGCAAAAGGCTGGAGATAGTAGGTCAGTGGGAAGGCCCTGGGTTCAATGACCAGTACTGCAGCTTCAGGGGTGTAGGGGTGTGGGGGTGCAGGGTGCATGGGGTAGGATGCTAGCACAGACTGAGATCACAGTAGTAACATAATTAATGCATTATGCAGAGGTAAAAGTATCTCCAACTGGGTTTCAAAGCTTTAAGGTCTAGGAGGAGAATGATGTGTAGACAGGAAACCCTGGCATCTTTGAGCTCCCTGCTCTGGGACGAAAGGCCAGAGGGTGAAAAAGAAAAACCTTTCTAAGAGTGTCAGGAACACAAGCAGACGAATAAAAAGATCAAAGAAGGCACTATTGAAAAGAGTACTTGGAGAGATACTAGATTGAAAAGCAGACCACTTTGCTTAAACATTTAATGCCCAACTGTGTTAACTCTGAGCCTAAATATCTTTCAATCCACTCATCAGACCTATAGAAATATGTAACAAAGGTGAGGTGGTGTCAGGGCCAGGATACAGCTCAGCAATATAAGCGCCAGCTTGGCAAGTGCAAGGTACTGAGTTCAATTCTCAGTGACCAGCCAAGTGGGTATCAATGAAACTTAAGACCAAGGAATCTCCTAGACATTATCAAAGCTGTAGAAGACAACAGGGTTAGTCAGGGCATGGTGGCACACACATGCCTTCTCAGCACTTGTGAAGACTGAGGCAGGAGGGTTTCTACCAGCTTAAGGCCAGCCTGAATGATACAAGATTTTGTCTCAAAAAAAAAAAAAAAAAAAAAAAAGGAGGAGGACAATGATGACAGCAGCAGGGCTTAATGGAAGAGTCTTGGAGCAATTTTTAGCAAGACAGGTCTATGACAGCAAGTCATATCGAAATGCTACATATAAACTGTACGCCTTACTGGGAAGAAGTTACGTGCCACACAGTTCCAGTGCAGTCCCTGTGGTAGCACGGAGGACACACTGGCACACAGTACTCAAAACACCTGCTAAATGAAGAACCATCGAACTGCTGTGGCTGGGCCAACTGTCAGAATATGCTGCTCAGCAGATAGTGGTCATTCGTGGTTAAGAAAGCCAACAAGCAAGACGGGGAGTTTGGAAAGGTCAATAAGCTTTTGACTTTCATGATGTGAGGTAGGAGAACATTCTGCACTAATACACTGCTGAACAATTAGCACAAACGTCTAGATATTGTTAACTGTACCTTAAAGGGAATAGATAGCTGGTCCTTAGTTTGCAAGCAAGTTGTGTTATAAAAACTGATTTGAAAGTCTGCTGTTTCCACCATAAAATATTCTACTTCCCTACACAGGAAATAAATATTTTAAGAGTGAAGAACAACAAATCTTTCCCAACCCCAATATTTTGGAGGGGAATTTGAGACAGGGCCTGCTGTACAGTACAGACTGGCCTTGAATTCGCTTATGCAGTCTAGGTTGGTCTCAAACTCAAGATGATTCTTCTGCCTCACCCTCCTGAGTGCTAGAATGATGCCACCATGCCCAGCTCCCCAATGTTTCAGTTCAAAGTAAATGCTGAATGCTGTGAACAGTACTGCCCGGCATCTTGAGACCTGGTGGTGAGGCTGCTGAGAAGAGAAGAGACCACCGGAGAACAGCAGGCTGTGGGGGCGGGGCTGGGGAAAGAGGGCTGGCGGGAGCCAAGGGCTGACCCCGGCGAGAGACCACCACTGTATTTACATAAGTACTAGCACATACATGCTGAGATGACGGGCTACCCAATCCACCGCTTAGCTAAGGGGAGGCACAGTCTAGACCCCACAGGTTTTCCACTCTGAGGACTTCGGATTTAGCAGGAGTGTGGAAGGGCAGCTGCGCAAGTACAGTTTTGCAAGCTGCACGACAGCCAGCTCGCAACGAGGCAGCTTATGTAAAGCAACACACAAAAAACACAGAGGGCCAAGGATTTAGCTCATAGCAAAGCACCTGCCTGGCAAGTGCAAGTCCTAGTTTGATTCTCGGTACCAAAACAGAAAATAGGAAATTGAGGCCAGCCAGGGATTTAGCTCAGCCAAACAAGTGCCTGCTTCGCAAGCGTGAGGTCATGGGTTTGATCCCTGGTACCAAAAAACAAACAAACAAAAAACCCACAGAAAACAAAAAATTGGGTTAATACAACAGCCTAATGAATCTTTAAAAACAGAAAAATTAAAGTGGTTTTCTTGAACATATCAACCATTTCTAATGGGGAGGGAGAAAAAGGACTGGGCTCGCTAAAAATGGCAAACTCAAAGCCTACTGAATGGCAATTTAAGTTAACTTCAGAGCAAGAGCCAGAGTATTCAAAATTGGAGTGTAAGTCCAGCACAGCACCACACACCTGTAACCCCATCAGCTCAGCATTCTGAGAGGCTGAGGCAGGGTAACAGCAAGTTCAAGCCAGCCTGCACAACTCAGTAAGACCCTATCTCAGAATTTAAAGAAAGGCTAGGAATGTGGCTCAATGCAAAGGCCCTGGGCCCAATCCCTCGAGATGTCCCCCACCCCCTCTTGTACTAATTCCCCCCCAGTCAGAATACAAATGAAAGATGAATAATAGATGCTTCAAAGAAAAGTAGAATGAAATTTACATTTTGAGTCCATCCTCTAAACAGGAATTGTGTGACAACCTTCTTAAGGTTGTCAATTTCCAGCTGAGACCCTGGCATTTTCTCTGAGCACCTGAGGCACGAGCATGACACAATGGTCCAAAGCCTTTGACACCTGCAGATTTTCATCTACCCAATCACTGCCCAAGCTCACCAGTGTGCACAGGCTTGACACAGACGCCTGGACCATCAGTTTCAGGGTGGATTGAAGAGCCACACAGTTGCTCAGCAGAGAAAGGAAAAAACTTCAGCTTGGCCAGGACAGACAATAATCTCATGCAGGGTGGGGATGCACTGGACAGGCAGAAGAGATGCAGCCAGAGCTTTTTTTCTTAACAGATCTTCAAATTAAGAGAAATATCTAGAGAGAAAAATCTGATCATCTGGATAGTCCTGGAAACTGCTGGCATTTTCCCTTTCCTAGTTCTTAGTTTAGGCCTTCAGTATTTAAGCAAAATGTAAAACTAAACACTACCTGCTTTTAGAATGGGGACGTTAGCCCACAGCTGCTTACTTGCCGCCCCCTTCCCCGCCTCCCTCCATCCCAGTGCAGGAACTGCGCCCACGGGGGCTCCGCTGTTTCCTCCCCTGTGGGGGAGACAGGAGATGACCCTAGCAACCACAGCAAGCCTCATCAAGCCCTGCACGGTCTGTTTTAGGAATATACATAGCTTGAGCCAAGAGGATAAAACACCAAGATTGTGGAGCAGATGGACACCCTGAGAAGACTCAGAGCAGGACAAGAAAGCTGGCTTTAGCAGGGTCATTCTCGTCTGGACTGATCCTGAGGAAGGTAACTTTGCAGACAGCAGGCTGGCTTCTGACAAGGGGAAGGAGTGCACGCTGCTCAGTCGCTGGGCAGCATCCACAGCACAGAGGGTCTCCCGGCTGGACTTGCAAGGTCACAAACTGCCAGCCTTTTCCCATGTTATCTTTGATTAGAGTAATTTATTTCAGAGAGTAAACACAGTGTACATGGCACATAAAGGGAATAAAAAAGGCAAGAAATGGAGGAAAGCAACATTTCATTCCCAAAGCCCTAGGCACGAGAGAAAACCAAGTCACCAATACAGGAAAGGTGCGAATGATCCACAAAATGCTGCCCTACCACAAGGACAAACAAAGTCATTTCTGAAGAAAAGCTAATCTGGCTCATGTTCAAAAAGATACCCATGTAAGCTGTAACTGATTAACTGGAAAGAAAAACTAAACAGATAAATCCTATCTACTTTGTGCATCTAAATAGCCTATAAGTGAAATTTCCTAGAAGTTTCATGGTGTTTGGGCCAGAAAGTCATCCTGGAAACATGTTCGTCCCCTACTGTGAAGTAGAAAGACTCATGACCTATACCAGATCACACGCCTGGCATCAAGGCAACGGACTCCCACAGAGTAATTACTGGGGAGGACATGGAATGTATCTGAAGGCCTCTATCTCACATCAGTCATCATGTAATTAGGATAATTCAAATCTTATTTCAGCAAATCCAATGTTCCTACCACACTGCTTTGGAGTGCCCCGTGTTAACTGCTAGCATTAGACATGACTACAGTGACACAGCCACAGTGCTTTCTCTCTTACCTACCTCGGCCAAACAAACCAATACTGTCACACAACACAGAACGCCCCCTAAGGGCGTGGCCTCAGGAAGGCTAGCCACTGTAGGCCCACTGCCAATGACAGAACACTGAGGGTGGGCTGAGAGGTAAAGGACAGGAAAGTGTTCTTAAAAATGCACGACGTTTTAGCTATGCACATGCTGACCTAAGCCAACGGGGAGTGCTGAAGGTGTGGTACACACAGGAGCCGGGTGGAATACCACAGCAGCCGAAGTCTTCCCAAAGATTCCTTCCTGAACCTCTTGTACTAATTCCCCACTTGAGATTAACCCAGCAGAATAATCTTATCATCACAGGACACACAACCACAGACAGACAGACAGACATGAACATATCCTCCACCAAGGAAAGTCTTACGTCCTCAATTAGGGTTTACAGCACAATACTTATTCTACTGCTTTCTGGACTGTTCCTCAGGAAGGTTACCACGTAATAAAAATCCACACTTTCTCCAAGTAGGGACTGAAGGACACCTCCAAGAACAATACAATAATAAAACACATTAGCTGCTCCATTTTCATTCCACTGCTTTGAAATCTTGGGACCATGGTATGATACTCACAGAGAGGGCAGGACCTCACTGTGAAGTCCCCAAAAGAGCTTCTGCCCTCCTAGATGCTCCTCAAGAGCCCAGCTCTTGGATGCTCGCAGCTGTGATAGGGAGGGATGTGCTAGGTGGCCACATGAGCAGGGGATGAAATAGTAACGAATTCTCGGAGGATGTTTTTGGCCATTTCAATGTTGTTGTGGGCGATGACCAAAGCTTTCTGAATGTCCTGGTAGGAGTAGCCCTGGCTCATGAGGTTTTCAATCTCACTGGAGAGCTGAGGCGTTGGGGTGGCAGCGGGGGTGGCCACGGCAACACCACCGCCTTGCTGACAGCTACCTGCTTTCCGTTCAGAGTTGATTCTCCGAGGAAATGGTTTTGGGGGCCGCTCGGGAACTTGAGAACCCTCAGTAAAATCTGGAAGAAATAGCAAAGAAAATATTCAGGTAAATCTTCAATTAGTGGCAATACTATAAAGTAGTAACAATGTGTTAATATCAACTCATGACTGACTTGTCAATTGAAGGCCTGTACTTTTCTGTCGCAAAATGGGTTTTAGAGGTTCAAGGGCTCTTGGATTTAGCTTCCTCCTTATCACAACAGCAGCCGCATTCTAAATATACCACAGACCTGTTCTATTTACAGCCACTGTTGCTATGATAAACATGTAATATCTGCATCATTTTTTAAACTGAGTGACAAATTGTCTTTCCTTTTTTTGGGGGGGGGGGGAATACAGGGAATCAAACTCATGACCTTGTATTTGCCAAGCAGGAGCTGACGCCACTGAATTATATTCCCGGCCCCCTCTGCATGACAAATTCTCATACATATAATCATCAGATTTTTTTTTTTTAAATCTGAGAGAATCAGAAAATACTAAATTCCTTTTTCTACAAATTAGGAGCAGAAAAAAGCTTAAGCACCAACACAGAATGGGTGGAGATCACTGCCTGCAGTCCTACCAGGCAGCCACAGGTGCAAGAAGGGCAGACCCTGGCAGTCCAGACCCAATGTAGGCTGGCTCCAGCCTCTCCACATGCATTTCAGGACAGTCTGCCTGCTCTCCACTGGAACAGGGTCCAGAAGACAAGAGTGTAAAGTCTGAGCATCAACTTAATTTAGCTGTGTCTTCTTAAGGCATAGTTGGGGGGGAAAAAAAAAAATCACAAAACCCTATCTTCCCAGCATTTCTAAGTCTGAAGAGTTTAAACACAGTCTGATTTCATAATCTGGAACGCAGGAGTAGGTTTCTCCCCATTTAGACATGGTTAGTCCACCCCACCCCCTACCAACTTGTGCCACTTGTGTCACCTCCCAGTATGCATCAGGATCCAACCCAACACAGCCTCTAGGCTCACTTGTTGAGGGTTCAGCATCCAGAGACAACCAGCCTAAGGAAGAGCTCGCATTGGAGATGTCCGAGAGAGTCCGGCGGGCTAGGACAGCTGGTACCGGTGGCTTAGGGACATCATAGCCATCATCGTCATTTTCTGATTCCTCAGGGCCAGTGCTTGTGTGGGCTGCAGCCAAAATGCCTTCACCTGGAGAAGCGGTGGCATTATGGTCTCCTGACACACCTCATCTTTAACAGCCCCCGCCGTCCAGGGCACCCATTCATTCACGCCTGCATACAACCACCTTCTCCAGTCTACAGTTACTCAGTGCCTACTAGATGCCAAACATCATGTGAGGCCTTGTGGGTAGAAATAAAAAGAAACAGAAAATAGCATCTGTGCAGACTTGTAGCTCTGCTGTGGAATGTGTCAAAGGTTACTGTTGCTAAAGTTAACAGCCACCTCTCCAGGGCAAGGATTCAAGTGCCTTTTTTTTTTTTTTTGGTCTTTTTCCTTTTTGTCGGTACCAGGGATCGAACTCAGGACTGCCTGCTTGCAAGGCAGGCGCTTATGCCGCTGAGCTAAATCCCCAGCCCCTCAAGTGCCTTTTGATAGCACTTCTATCTGTTTCACCTCTGATCAGCCACGGCGCCCTGTGTGGCGCCCTGTGTGTGCCGGCTCCCTGAACTTTCAACTCAGGAAGTTTGTCATCATGGGAATTAAGTATGCGCCACCCACACACACAAGAATTTCATCAATGCAATGGGAATGAAAGAGGGCTGCCAGAACTGCACGTCCAGGCCACGGAACACAAAAGTCTCCAGGCCTGAGGATAAAAAAGCACAAAAGGAACAAGCTGTAGAAAACGGAAATAAAGTGGGCAAGGGTCACCCTGCCCATGAATCAAAGGTATTTTATCAAACATTACTGACAACAACTCTCTCCTTTGGTCAAACTATCTCAGTAGCCAAATGTCACAGGCTTATTCCTATGGCACATCAAGGATTTTTTAAGTAGCAGAGAGGGCTACTCACCAAAGGTGCTGCTCTCGGTGGCAGACGGCGCCTGGGACTGAATATTATACATTGCTTCGTATGTGCAGCTATCAGTCTGCTGGTCACAGTCACCCGCTCTGAACAGGAAGGAAAGCAGAACAATCTTCAGAAACAGAACGCTGTGACCTGCAAACTTACTAAGGCTTTGCTGTCACAGCTATGCTAGGTCCCAGTTCTCTCGGAACACAGGCCTCTCGGGCCGTTACCACCAAAAAATGATACAAGAGTGCCTCTTGTGACAATTTACAGATGTGTGTACTCTGACGGTCACTGTGACAGTGAGAAAACAGCAGAATTTCTTACAGCTACGAGAGACTTAAACATTAGGCACTAGACTTGACTTATTGCTTTTATTCTAGATAACCGCGTGTGCAAGCAGCAAGCCACGCAGGTGACGGCTGCACTTGCACAGGAAGGTGTGCGGTCCCAAGCAGGGCGGCTCTGAACCCACCGTGAACTCTGGGCTGTCTCTGAAGGCCGTTTCAAGTCTGGCTTTTGAAGCCCTGTCGGCCTAGAAGAGGGAGTCATGTATTCTGTGTCCTCCTCACTCTCACCCCGTTCTCCAGGCGGCAGTTTTGGCACTGGAAGAGGTCTGCAAGATGATGAATAAAAAAATCAATCCAGAAAACTTTCAAGTGTGAAACATGCAACTTCAAAACAGACACAACTCAAATTCAGCAGCGTAAAATACAAAACTGCTGGGAACTATTATGTATTTCTACTAACCAAGAAAGGTCATTAAGAGGCGCACCAGCTAAAATGCCACTTTCAGCTGACCAAAGGGGTGACAATATGCGTGACACGGCTGCCCTGGGGTCTGCACCTGACGCCAGCTGGTCCCAACCTCCACGTCAGTTTCACCGTGGGTCCCAATTCTAAAGCGGGTGCCCTGGGTTTCCTGTCGCTGGGTCTGAAGAAGCAATAGCAGGCAGCTTTCTGACAGCGCTCTAGGACTGTACCAAATCCCTGCCATTGCAAAACCTACCCATGGTTTCAAAAGTGCAGCACGTGTTGTCAAAACCTTGTCTCACACATCACCTTTTTAAAGTACACTTTTCCTCCTCAATATTTCTATAAGAAAAATCTAAAATAAAGAAAAAACAGTTTTCTGTGCAACAATTCTGGAACTAGAGCCCAGCATTCTGATTCTGCTGCCGGTTACCTTTTGTTTGTTTCGCAGTGCTGGGAACCAAACCCCAGGTGTGTGTTAGACAGGTGCTCTAAAAGCATACGGTGTTCTCAGCCCGTCCTCCACAAACCTGTGAACCAACCCCGCTCCCACCTGCCCCATGACAGGAAGTCTCACACCAGTGAACTGTAAAGGAAGCACGCAAATTGCTTTTTGGAGTGCAAATTTCTGAGTGTTTCTCCTCTCTATTTTTCTGCATGCTTGACATACTCTATTGAGGAGCAGCTCTTACATTTGCCTCTCTGTACTGACTTAATTTTTAGTCTTAAAAGTATAACAGCAATGCATGCTAGCTTTGAATCCCTAGGTACAAGCATCCCTCCCACCTTAGCCTCCAAGCAGGAAGGCCCAGCACCCAGCTTAGACATTATGGTCATCACTGAAAAATCGCTTATGTACAGGCAAATACCAATTTAAGATTCTGCAATGCATGCTGAAATTACGAGGTAGAGATGTACTAACTCACAGATGATTTGCTTTGAAATATGTCAAACAAGCAAGACAGACTGGTAAAATGAAGAACATATAGTGTGTGATACAAATGTTAACAAAACGCTAATAACTGAATCCAGAGAAGTACAGAGGTGTTCAACTTTATGTTTGTAATTTTCGTGAGGCAAAACAATTCAAATTAAGTGAAATCACCAATGTCAATAAAGCTGCAAGTCAATAAATGGGTACTTTCTTAAATAGCTGTAGAAATAAAAGGCTGCTTCAACTTTTTAGAGTGTTAACTCAAATTCCATTTCTAAGAATTTTTCCTAGGGAAATAATCAAGATACCAGCACTCAGGAGGCTGAAACAGGGGGAGTGCTGTGAGTTCAAGGCCAGCCTGGGCTACAAAGTGAATTCAAAGCCAGCCTGAACTATACGGTGAAACCTTGTCTTTAAAAGATACACACACACACACACACACACACACACACACACACACACAAAATCAAGAGTATTTACTATACTGCTATCTATAATACTGAAAAAGTAATAACCTAAAATATCAAACTACAGTTTGACCCCTAGTACCCTCCCCCAATCAAATTACAATTTCCTAGATAACTTTTTTTTTTCTTTTTGGTAACAGGAATTGAACTCACGACCTCGCACTTGCCAGGCAGGTACTTATGCCACTGAGCTAAATCCCTGGCTAGGTAACTTTTTTTTTTTTTTTTTGAGACAGGGTCTCAGTAGGTAGTTCAGGATAGCCTCCAAGTCAGCATACTCCTCCTGTCTCAGTTTCCCAAGTACTTGGATTACAGGTGTGCATACCACACCTAACTTGGAGTATCTTTGAAATGCTAAGAGAAACTAGCTCCATAATATAAGGCATCCAATAAAAACCTTTTTAAAAAATGTGAGGCAGGGGTGGTGTGGACTCATGTAATCCCAGCACTTGGAAGGCTAGGGCAGGAGGGTAGAAAGTTGGTGAGTTCAAGGCCAGCCTGGAATACAAAGCAAGACCCTATCTTGCTAGGCGTAGTGGGCTGTAATCCTAGCACTCAGGAGGCTGAGGCAGGAGGATTATCATGAATTCAAGTCCAGCTTGGGCCACACAGTGAAATCAAGGTCAGCCTGAACTACATAAGAGACCCTATCTCAAATATTCAACAAGTCAATCAATCAATCAATAATGATAAAGTACACTCTATCCAAGGATGCATACTGGAATTTCTAGGATACCTATTAAAGAACAGAAAGAGTGACCTGGTATAGTAGAAATACTTCAACCCAAAACCAGTATGAAAACAGGAAAAAAGGAACCTAGAAAACAATGGAAAAATGGTGAAAAGAGTAGGTCCAAATGGTTCAATTTCTTCAAGACAAAGAATGTCAAAATGGATTTATGAATCTCCCCCACGCATACACTGCTTATAAGAGATACCCCCTCAGGGCTGGGGATTTAGCTCAGCGGTATAAGCGCCTGCCTTGCAAGCAGGCAGTCGTGAGTTCGATCCCCGGTACCGATAAAAAGGAAAAAGACAAAAAAAAAAAAAAAAAAGGAAAGAAAAAAAGAGATACCCCTTCAGATTTCTATTGAGAACATATAAAGAACTTTAAAAAAAAAATCAGTCTTCCCAGATTTAAAGACCCAATCCCAAAATGGGCATCTGAGATGAATAGGCACTACTCAGATGAAGAAATACGAATAGCAAATAAATATGTGAAAAAATGTTCAATATCGCTGGTCATTCGAGAGATGCAAATTAAAACTACACTAAGAGTCTACCTCATCCTGGAAAGAATGGCCATCATTAAGAAATCAATAACAAATGCTGGAGGGGAAAAAGAAACCTTTTCCAGTGTTGGGGGGGAATGCAGACTGGTACAACTACTGTGGAAATCAGTGTGAAGATTTCTCAAAAAACTAGGACTAGAGGTTGCATTTAACCCACCTAATTCCCCTTCTGGGTATCTTCCCAAAAGAATTAGAAACATACCACAGCAATATGTGTGCACCCATGTTTATAGTAGCACCATGTCTATAGTATATAGATTATTACAATTTGTAATAATCAGATCTTGGGGGCTGGGGGCTGGGGACTTAGCTCAGCAGCATAAGCACCTGCCTTGCAAGCAGGTGGTCGTGAGTTCGATCCCCGGTACCGATAAAAATGAAAAAGACAAAAAAAAAAAAAAATCAGATCTTGGAAACAATCTAAATGCTCATCTACTAAGGAATGCATAAAAAAGATGTGGTATTTTATGCAATGGAGTACTACTCTGCCATAAAGAAGGATAAACAAAGACTTTTATAGCTAAACAAATGCAATTAAAACCATACTCATATAAAATCCAAGGAAGCAAGAAAAAAAAAAAAGAAAAAACCATACTCATAACTGAAATAAATCAGACACACATGTATAAACATCATATTGTCTCACTAGTGTGAGAAGCTGAAAGAAAAAAATATAAATAAATATATATTTATAAATAAATAAATATATATATTTTGTATATATATATATAAAATAGTTGAGATAGTTATACTACTGATTTCTGTGAGTTCACTGAACAGGTAGATGTGTGCTGGTATTGTTTGCACAACTGAATACAGGTATTTTGTGCACTGGGTGACTGATTTGGAGATAACAATGCACAATGTATGTATCATCACTGTCTCCTGATTGTTTCAAAATTTTGTTTTATGCTGTTTTTTTTTTCCTCTTTAAAATAAAATGGATTTGAAAAAAACTTTTTTAAACTTAAAAAAGAAATACATTTTCAATATAAGGATGGAAAAAGGTTGAAAGCAGCCATTTTGATATAAGACAAAGCATACAACATAAGCAAGAAATAGAACTACAGCATACATTTCTTGGTAATATAAAAGCTTATAATTTACTACCAATAATTTTAAATTTCTATTCTCTTAACTATAGAGGATAAACATACATAGCAGAAAAATCAAGAGTATTTACTATAGTGCTATCTATAATACTGAAAAAGTAATAACCTAAAATATCAAATTAAATTAAAGAATTAAAAAGGACAAGAAGGAAACTCATAGGAGAATTTGACAGTCCTCTCAGCTGTCTGACAGAACAGGTAGGTTTTTAAAAACCTGAGACATAAAGACAGAAACACAAATGACAAACCTGATGTCACAGACATGTTGGACACTATCCAGCAATTGCAGGACACGCTACTCTTTCTTTTAGAGACAAAGCTTTGCTATGTTGTACTAGCTGGCCTTGAGCTCACCAAGTGTGCAACCCAGGCTGGCCTCACGTTTGCGGTGATCTTCCTGTCTCAGCCTCCTCAGCACTGGGATGACAGGCATGTGTCACCATGCCTGGTCAGAACAGAGCCTTATGAGATGAACGTACCACATATTACTGGGTTTTACCGTAAACCTGGGAATAAAAATATGACCTTGCAGGTTATGGTGCTATAATCTGGGCAACTGAGGCAGGAAGACAGCAAGTTTGAGTCCAGCCTGGGCAATTTACTGACTCAGTGAGACCCTGTTTCAAATTTAAGGGGCGGGGTGAGCTCAGAATGCGGCTCAGTGCAAAGGCCCTAGGTTCAACCCCAAGTACAGAAAAACAACAGCAGACAAAAATGTTAGAATGAAGCCACAAAGCAGCTCCAGGATAACCAAAAACATCTTCAGACGTCTGAATTACGCACTTCATGAATAACTCATCTAAGAAATCATAAATGAAAAAGTATGTATTTTAAGTAAATGATCACGAAAATATGACGTGTAAATCTGTCAATGCAGCTAGTTATGTGATACAGACTAATCTTTGTGTACCCCTGAAAAACTATGTGGAAGCTCTAATGCCGTTTGGCTGTGTTTGGAGATGGAGCCACTCACAGGACTTATTAAATTAAGGCTGGATGAGGTCACAGGGTGACCTCCTGACAGGACAGATTGATGTCCTTGTCAGAAGCAAGCCTGAAGTGTGTTCACTCTTCCTCCTGCACACACGCACCAGAGGCAGCTCCGGGCGCGCCAGGAAGAGGCCCTCCAAGGACTGGCCCTGCTGCTGCCCGGCTCCAGACTTCCGGCCTCTACACTATGAAGAAATAAATTACACCCGGTGTGCAGTGTTCTGCTAGGGCAGGTGAAGTGGACCAACACCAGCCATCTAGGGATGCTAGAAAAATAGCAAATTAAAGAAAGCTGGAAAAATAAAATAAAGCAGATAGCAATTAACCAGAAAGCAAATACCCAAGTATGAATAAAAATCACAAAACTAAAATTGCTTTTTTGAAAAGATTAATAACTTGACAATTGCAACAAGAGTGATTTATGGAGCTTTTTCCTGTGAGTCAGCACCACTCACAGACTGTAGGGGAAGAAGACAAGAAGTCACCAAGAAGCAAGCCCTCCCTCCAAACGAGTGCCATGTGCAGGCCACTGTGGGGACAGCTAGATGCCAGCGCCTTCGGGCACGCGGACTGGGAAACAACAAGAACCAACCTCCTCAGCCCGCCCCTGCCATAAGCAACCGGCTGAGCAGAGGAACACCCGCTGTGATGCTAGCCAGTGAGGAAAAATACAACTTACTGCTCGTAGTGTTTGTGTTCCACTGACTTTGCAGGTCCAAGGCCAGTAGTCTGATCATCTATTCAGAGGACAGCAATACACACAGTGTGGCATCTATGGGGACTCTCCTTCTGAGGGTGGTAGCCACTGCTGACTTCCTATTATCTTGTTTTGAAGTCTTGTATCATTTTCATTATTTTGTTGGGTTGGGTTTTATTCTGTTTTATTTTGTTTTGTTTGATTTTATTATATCCAATGGCATGGACAGCTACTTCAAAGTTAACAAGATATATTACTGTAGCCATTTTGGATTTACTATTATCTTGGTTTGAATCCTTTACTGCATTCACTGTTTTGTTTTTATTGGTTCTATTCTGTTTTGTTTGATTTTTACTATGTCTGAAGGTATGGGCAGCTATTTTGAAGACAAGAGGCACGGTAACCACTGTTGATTCCATATTGAAGTCCTGTACCACTTACACTGGTTTGTTTTGATTGGCTTTCCTTTAATTTGCTTTGTTTTATTCTCTTTAAAATAATATTTTAAAAAAGTGATTTACATACATGTATACAGAAACAAGAATGGAAGGAGGGACTTCCACAAGGAACAAACACAGATCAACTTTTATTTTCTTCTTTATATTTTTCTGAGTTTCCTAAATTTTCTATAAATCAAGTACTTAAAAGTACCAACTTCAACAAATGAAATATAACTTTAGTAAACTTACCTGGCAGCCAGTGAATAAATGGCATTGGCAGATGAGGAAGGTTTGATTTTGGGGTGCTCGCACTCTGGACCTGCTAATGGACTATTACTCATATTCTGGAAAGTAAAGGAAGACATTGAAAAGAGCCTCTACCAAAGCTAAGCATCTCTTCTCAACACAGTCAAACCACAAGAACACTAACACTGACGCAGACCTTGCTATCACTGCAATCCCAAGAGCTATCGCATCTGACCAAAGCTCTGCTGCTTTCAGGCCTTGAAAAATTCTCAAACTTAATGTTAAGAAGGCAGAGATCTCGAAAGTACCAGGGAAATGCGCTTTTCTGTTTGTTTAAATACTGGAAAACTGTGAGTAAATTAGTTGTCTACACAAACACCATTTATAGTTTAAATAATCTATACCCAAACTCAAAATGGTCATTAACACCACCAAAAAATCACATTTAACCACTCTCACTACTTAGACTATCGCACTAATTATTATTATTTTTTTCTTTCTGGTACCAGGGATTGAACTCATGACCTCTCACTTGCCAGGCAGGCGCATATGCTGCTGAGCTAAATCCCCAGCTAATTAGACACTGGTGTTGCTTAAATGGAAACACCCACCTGAGTGCCACAACACTCAATTTCATCCTTCCTATTCCACTTTCTCCTCAGATGCCCAACTACCCACTTGTCAATTCTGTCAAAGGTTCATCTCAAATTCAAATGGTCACCATGTATGTATGGACCTCTCGTGGTCGTTTCCACCTCCTGCTTTTAAGTCTTTATCTGTTTGATGCTCTTCTAAAAGCTCCACCTGCAGGACAGCCCACTTCTGCTCAGAGAGAAGGCCTCTCCTTCTTACCACACGGCAGGAGCTACACTATATCCCTGTGCTATTTTTCAGACTGTCCTGAACTCAACCTCTTTCCCTCTACTTCAGATGAGCATGGTTCACTCTCTCTGCTTTACTTATACACTTATGGTCTTTACTTATACACCAGGGCTGGGGGTTTAGCTCAGCGGCACAAGCACCTGCCTAGCAAGCTTCAGGTCATGAGTTCAATCCCTGGTACCAAAAGAAAGAGTTGCACCCCATCTCTTCCTGTGCAGCCCACCCCAACTCCAGCTCTCCATAGGCCTCTAATGCTCCTTCGCCTCAGCACCTGTCACGTGAGCATATCATGTACTGTTTAACCCTTCGCCTCAGCACCTGTCACGTGAGCATATCATGTACTGTTCTCACATCAACCTCCTGTTAAGAATGTAAGCTTTGTGAAGCAAGAATTTTTGTTGTGTGCACAGAAAGAGAAATCCTCTCCCAACTGCAGGCTTTCCCCAATCTTTCTTCAATCTATTCTTGGCAATCTATCCTGCATATTATTATTGAATTTCTTCAATCCACCAACCAAAAACCTTCAAATTTTCACCATTTCCTCCCAAATAAATCCGTACTCATAGGGGTATAATTTAACATGACTGCTCCTTTCTATTCTTTTCCTCTGCTCTACCCATCATTCCATAATACACTTACACACACCGTCAACGCTGCTATGGTCTATCTTACTACATCTGGACTCTAACACTCCCATGAGTCAGCCACATAATAAGCTTTCTGTGATTATATTGTCTATAACAAAATCCCTTGTATCTAATTTTCAAAGAACTCTTTGATTCAGATGTCTTTTTCTCTTAGCACCCTCACAATTGCTCTAGCTGACTTCCTCCGTTCTCTAAAACATAAAGAGGTTTCTACTTACATTGTGTATGGCATTTACACAGGATGCCTACTGACATACAGCTGCCTCATCTGGCCTGTTAACATAGCTTTCCCCTGCAGTGTCTGGGAAGTCATCCTATGCAAGTGCTCTGCCACTGAGACACATCCTCAGACCAACCTACAGATTTCTTGAAGTTTGAAGGTTCTGTTACCTTATCTCTGAATTCCGTAAAAAACTTGGCCCATAAGATGTCATCCCCAAATATGCGTTAAAAGGCTCATTTCAAAATCAGAACTCACCAGGGAGGTATCCAGACTGAACGTGCTTCCAAGCCTAGCCATATCTGCTCTGCTCTCCATTTGAGAGGGCAACGAAAATGGAAGTGAGTGCCGGTTGGTTAATTCTCTGCCAGTCCAGGGGTCACTGGGGCTTGGAGTAGCTACTGGTACTTTGGGGATTGGCCGGGGCAACCATGAGTCCCCAAGACGGCTAGAGGGTACAGGGGGCAGTTTGTCCCTGCCTGGACAATCGCCTGGTGTACAGGGGAGGGGGCGTCTCTGAGGTCGCGTTTCTGCTCCAGCTGCATACGGTCGCTCTGGAGGCGGGGGTGGTGGAAGATCTCGAAGTGTAGGCGGGATTGGCAAGGGCTTGTCCTTATGGAGGGATGCAGAGGCAGCCTGTGAAAGCAATACGAAGTCATCTATCAAAACCCTCTAATGCACAAAAGACACAAAACTAAACAAACGGACAATGCTGTACCTTGGGGGCAGTTCCTAGACCAGAAGCACTTGGAGGAACAGACACCCGCTGCTGCAGAAGGTCCAGCCGTGGTGGCACTGGGGGGAGGGAAGCTTGTGGGGCCACTGAAAACGGAGAAGGGGGCCGTTCCACCTGGCACCAATGACATTTAACAGGTTACTCTTGTTAGGAAACTGGCATCTTCCAGATCCTTTTAAGGCTGGACACAGCAAATACTACGCAAAATCTGAATAAAATGTTGGACGGCAACTCGGAGGTACACAAATCTCTAAAATCTCAGAAACTTCCAGAATCTTAAAACTATTTTTATGCCACCATAAGAGGGCAGTCTCAATCCCAGAAATACCAAGTTGTAAGCAGATACATCCAGAAAGGCAAGACTACAAAAAGCTTCCCAGGCTGAGGCAAGAGGATTGTTCCAAGTTTGAGACCAGCCTGAGCTACAAAGTGAGCTAAAGGCCAATCTAAAGTGTGTTAGTGAGACTCCGTCTCAAAACAAAACAAAAGTTCTTAGCTTACTACTATTAAAAAGAAAGAAAGAAAGAAAGAGAAAACAATCTATTATGTAATTTTCTGCCTCTTCTTCTCTGGAAAGAAAATTATCTTTTAAAGATTAAAAATAAGAGGGTTCAGAGATATAGCTCAGCGGCACAGTACCTGCCTGGCAAGGGCAAGGTCCTGAGTTTGATTCCCAGTACCAAAAAACAAAACAAAACAAAATAAAACATTAAAAACAACTCATATAATAAAAAAAGAGCAATTAACTAGGAAAATGTTAACAAGTTAACTAAAGGAATGCTTAGGAGGCAGAATTAGGAAATAAATCAATAATAATACATTCCCTTGGGTTATTATGATAGTGATTTGTAAGAGGGGCATGATCAACAATACCACTAAAATGCATCCTGAGACCTGTCTAAGAAATAAATTACTTCAAAGGATTTATATTTTCTGATAATTTGCATTATAAAACTGAAGAACTCAATTAGAAGAAACAATACATGTATAACCTTTTCCACTTCCCTGCCTATCACAGAATGAGGAAGAGCTGAGATAAGGTTACTTGATAAGCTGTAATTCAGACAAAATGCGACTTTGCATTTGTATTGCCAACAGGAAAGCACATGACCAAACACAGGCAAACTGTGTATTATAAGCACTCATGCAAGGGACAGAAAAACAACCCTCCCCGTACTCAGTCTATCTGTGGTGCTGGGTGCTAAACAAGAGGAAAAAAGCAAGCCCTTATTAGCTGTGTCCTTTTAGTACTGCTTACAAAAAAGGGCTCCACCTCAGCACAAAACTCAGCTAAACACCAGCATCAGAAAAGCCAAAAATTATTCCTGAGGTTAACTCATCAGTATCTAGTCAGTAGCAGTGTCTTGCAGGTTTTTCCCTAACAGAAACCTCCTTGGCAAACCTTCCTTTTCACTGTGCTTAACAGGGCGGCCCTAATTTACTCCACCAGCTTCTAGCACACCCCTACATTTACAGTTTCCTATCTCACCAAATCCTTTTTTGTACAACTATCATCCTAGTCAACCCTTAAAATCCTCAGGAACTTAAAAGCAATCAGTGTTTCTAACTTCCCATGTCACAGGGAGCCCTTCCGGCTCTCTCTCCCGGGCCTCCCTGCCCAGCCTGCCTGTCACACCTCCCTAGGAGACATGGCTGCAGCCTGCGCTAGTCAGGCTCTCTGCAGCCCTTCCAGCCTCGAGCTGTTCCCATCATCCGTCTCCCTTTCTCTCATGTCTCAAGTGCAGAGGGTTGAACTAATCATATTCATCAATCCACAGCTCAACGAACTGATCTCTGCATTGTTCTTTCTATCCCAACACACAGCAATGTTTCAGAAAAGGAGAAAAAGAGGCGAAGTGGGGGGAAATCAAAGAAATTACACAGGAACACTCCCGGGACCTGAGAGACATGAATCAGGTGATAAAGGATTCACTGCACACTCAGCCCAATACAGGAAAACGGAGACAGGAATCAGCAAAGAGCAAACATGTCCTAGAAGCTGGAAGTCAGTGCAGCCACCACACATCAGGGCTGAGCCGAGTATTTTTCAACCTAGAAACCTTGCAGGAGTGAATAAAGGCATTGTAAGGTATCAAAGACCCCCGAAAGGTTTCCTCACCTTTTCACAGAAAGCTTCTTTGAGGACACACTCTATTCAAACAAAAGCAGCCACATGAGAAAGAGGACAACATTTGAGCCAAGAAACAGGCACCTCCACAGAGGAGAGGGAATGAGGCTTGCGGAAATCCAAAGGGCATCTCAGGTGACAGGAGCACAGCACATGCAGAGAAGCACCAGTCCGGACAGGAGGGAGGCACCACTACTCCTACGGATCCAAACCTGTACTGTACTACACACTACCCAGTCCACTAACACAGGGGACGCACAGAGCTTACTGCACACGCGTCTGAGAAAGGCACGACTTGCCAGTGACAGGCACAGGTACAGGAAAAGCAGAAGGTTTCCCAAGTCAGCAAAATCATTACCCTGTAGCTCATTACTCAGCACAGTAGGGAGCAAAACCATTTCAGACACTCAATATTGATTCTGGCAAAAAAAAAAAAGAAAGGTTACAGTAGAAAGGGAGACAGAGAAATACAAATCTATTCCGCTATACTGTATGAGGTAAATGGATAATTAACCAAGAACAAGTGTAAGTACATCATTTAGAAACATAGAAATAGGAACTGAAAAATCTGAACGGAAATATACAGAAGGGACCTAGCATGTGTGAAGGCAGGGAATCGATGTTTCTATATGCCTTCTACAGCAATTTTTTTACAACAACAACAAAAAAATTATGTGCATTTATCACATGGACTTTTTTAAAAAGTACATTCACTAATTAACTGTTTTTGTTTTGTTTTTGTTACTAAAAATTGAAATCACAACTTGCTAAGCAGGCACTGTGCTCCTGAGCTATATGCTCGGCCTTTTTGTGTGTGTGTGTGGGGGGGGTCTTTTTGAGACAGGGTCTCACTATGCAGTTCAGGCTGGCCTTGGGCTCACTTTGTAGCCCAGGCTGGTCTCGAACTTGGAACAATCCTCGTGCCTCAGCCTCCCGAGTGCTGGGATTACAGATGTGAGCCACCATGCCCAGCTTGCCCAACCAATTATTAACTGTACATATAAAAAATCAAAATAAGATACATAATAGCTACCAAGATACAAAGAAACAGACATGCTCATTTTCATTTGGCTTCAAGAGTGATCTTATGGCAAAAAAAAAAAAAAAAAAAAAATCAGGACAAATTTTAGTAGCTATCTAAACAAGTTACTCAAAATATTTAACTCACACAAAGTATATATACAAAGAATAAGGGGGCTGGGGATTTAGCTCAGCGGCATAAGCGCCTGCCTTACAAGCAGGCAGTCGTGAGTTCGATCCCCGGTACCAATAAAAAAGAAAAAGAAAAAAAAAAAATGCATACCCACATACCTCCTATCCAGCTAAGAAATGAAATATCACTGTCTATGAAGCTGCCATATGTCTTTTCCCTAATTATATCTCTACTCCACCATAGTTTAAACACACTTTTATTTTTTGCTTAGGAGCACTGGGAACTGAATCTGAGGATTCAATTACACAAGGCAAATGCTCTAGTGCTCAACTATAGCCCCAGCTCTAAATACAAATACTCTTACCCAGCAGCTCTACTGCTAGAAGTTTATTCTACAGAAAAACTTACAAAATATGCCAATATGCACGAACATAGAAATAGTATGTTCCTTAAGGAGAAGCTAAATAAATTATAGAATAATCAAGTAACAATAATACAAATAGGCAGTTGTGCTTTATTTATTTGAGTTTCTATTCAGCTAGAGGGACAGTGCTCATTTTCTTCTAAATGCCTCTACTGGAGTAGGAATAAGGTAGGAAGTGGGGAAGGAGAAAGAACAAAGGGATAGAAAAAATGGAAACAAAGCTTTGCAAATAAGGAGGGGAAGACGGGTTGTGGGGAAGAAAGGGGCTGGGGGAAAATAATCAAAATATAAAACTCCTGTAATCCCAGGGAGACTGGGACAGCCTTGGAAGGCTAAGACAGGAGGACCATTTCCAAGTCAGAGAGCAGCCTGGCTACAAAGCAAGCCCAAGGTCAGCCTGAACAGCATAGCAAGACCCTGTCACAAAAAGACAAAAACTATTTGCAGACTAGGGGTAGAGAGAACAAGGCCACACCAGGAAGCAAGCCCAGTGTGGGAACCAGCGCCATGCAGACCCCAGCCTCTTCTGGTACACAGGTCGGAAACAAGAAGTACCAGCACCCTTACCCCCACATAAGCAATTAGCTTACCTGGATGGCTAATGAGATGAAATGTAATTGGATGCCTGTGGTGCTTTGGTCTTACACTAACATTGCAGGCCTGGGGCCAGTGGTCTGATCATAGGTTCAGAGGATAACGATAGGCAGTGTGCTATCTAGGGGCATCTCCTCCTAAGGATTGTGGCCATTGTTGATTCCCTATGGTCTTATTCTGAAGTCCTATATTATTTCCATAATTCTGTTAGGTTGGGTTTTATTCTCTTTTGTTTTGCTTGATTATGTTAAAGCCAATGGCAACAGCACCTATTCTGTTTTGTTCTGTTTGACTGTGTCTGAAGTTATCTGCAGCTAATCAAAAGACATCAAAGGGCGTTATGGTAACTATTGTTGATTTCATAATGTTTTGAAATCCTGTATCTCTCACACTGGTTTGTTTTGATTGGTTTTATTGTTTTATGCTCTTTAAAATAAACTAAAAAATTTTTTTAAAAAAAGAATCAAGATATGTACAAATTCCCTGTGATGAATGTGACTCATTATGAATATCTAAAATGTACCTAAAAAATAAATTATGTACATAAAAAAAAAGCAATGCCTATGCTACTAAGAAAGTATATAACCCGACATTTTTTTTTTTGTGGCAGAATCTCACTATATAGTTCAGGTTGATCCTCAACTTACCACGTAGTCCAGGCTAGCCTTGAAATAGGGCTGATCTTCCCAGCTCAGCCTCTGAGCGCTGGGATTACAGGTGTGGATGACCATGCCAGTTCATAACCCAATGAATCTGAACAATGCTCACTGTCTGCCTTGTCTCGGAGTGTCTCTCCTTCATCTACAATCGCTTTCCAAATAATTACCAGCCCCCTTCAGAACCAAGATTTACGGTTCTACCTAGCATTCCACACTGAGCTATTTAGCTAAGCAATAAACAACCACCTTGGAAAAGTAACTTTCAATTATAAAAAGAACTCTAACTTACAAAATTGAAGCCTTCAGCTCTGTCTTTAGAATAATTTAGTCTTTAGTCATCCATGGTAATCAAACCTAGGGATGCTCTACCAGTGGACTAGCTATATCCCCCAGATCCTTCATTTTAAAGACAGGGACTAGCTAAATTGCCCAGGTTGGACTTGAATGTGTGATCCTTCAGTCTCAGCACCCAAGTAGGTGGCCTTATAGGTATGTACCACTGCAGTTGGCTTTAAAAAATAAAAATTGTAAAGCAATTTTTAAAAACAGAACTGAGCTCATCTTACAGCACAGGCTGGGGGAGGGCGGCGGTGGCACTGGGGACTAAACCCAGGGTCTACTCCCTGAGCTAATCTTTAATCCTTTTTCATATTTGTTTTTATTTGAGATAGGGTCTCAATAAGTAAGTTACCTAAGTTGATCTTTTTTTTTTTTTTTTTTTTTGTCTTTTTCATTTTTATCAGTACCGGGGATAGAACTCACAACCACCTGCTTGCAAGGCAGGTGCTTATGCCGCTGAGCTAAATCGCCAGCCCCCCCCTAAGTTGATCTTAAACTTGCCCTCCTCCTGCCTCAACCTCCAGGTAGCAAGTACTACACAGGACCCCACCATGCCAGTCTGTGGCTGGGTTTCTTCATTTGTTAAGTGAATATAAGCTGGAAGCAGTGATGTACACCTGCAATCCCAGCTACTAAGGAGGCTGACACAGGAGGATCATAAGTTTGAGAACAGCCTGGGGAAGGAAACCATATCTCAAAGTCAAAAAGAGAAAAAAGGGGGGAATGGGGGTTCGGATGTAGCTCAGTGTTAAGAGTACCCCTTGGCTCACACTCTCAAGACCAAAATATTATTATTACTACTAATAATAAGAATAACACCTATTCAAAAGTTGTTGTAAAGATTGTATGAGTTATAAATAAGTAATGTGTTTGGTACAGTAACTGTCTTACAGCAAATGCTTAATAAATAAATTATTATTGCATTTTGAGGTCTGAATGTCACACAGTGCTCCACGCTTCAGAACATGGCATCACAGATTTTGCCATTCTACGCTGCTCTTACCTTGGCACCAGCCAATTCTTTCATCATGAAGAGAGAATCATCAGCTCGTTCATCATCGTCATCATCATAATTTGGGGAGGGAGCTCCTTCTGCTCCTTGCCTCAACAGGCTGCCACTGCCTCGAGGGTCAAACGGATCCACCACAATGGGCTCTGTCCCTTTGATTTCACAGCGGCAGAAGGGACAGCCCTGACCTTCTGATTCCTGCAAAGGAAGGAGAAACTAGTGACACATGCATCTGAAAGTACTTAAAACATTCATCTACTAAGTACATTTTCTCGAGATGAAAATGAAATGACAGGTTTCTAGCTCAGTGGTAGAACATGCTTAGAACATGGGAAACACTGGATTCAATTCTCAGCCCCAGAAACAAAAAAGAAAATTAAAAATTTCACCCCTCCTCACGAACCAGCCGCCTTTTATACCTGTAAAGGATGTGTGATAACTCTTCAGCAGATAGTCAAGAAAATGCACGGCCTGGACTCGTACCTGCCAGGATGTCAGACAAGATGTGCACATGAGATGTCCACAGGGCTCAATCTTTACATCCTTATCATTTTCAGCACATATTTTACACAGCTGGAACGTGGAGCCCATCTCACAGTACAATTCATATTGTTCCTTTGATCAAAAAAATTTAAGAGATCATTAAATGAGTAACTGTAACTATAAATGCTACAAGGAAACTGAAGACTGTTACTTTCTATACAAGTTTTGCATGAATAAAATGTAACAAGAGAGGTCAATGTTCTCTCATTAAAGCAGAAAGCATTTAGTCTTGGTCCTATTTTAAACTGCATGGTTTAAAGAAAGAACACATATTCAAATTCACTCATGTAGTCTATGGTTTAAGTGTTCCATTTCCTTAGTTAAATTATAGTGTCAATTTCGGTACCAGGGATCGAACTCACGACTGCCTGCTTGCAAGGCAGGCGCTTATGCCGCTGAGCTAAATCCCCAGCCCCTATTGTGTCAATTCTATAAAGTATATTCAAGAGCTCCACACCACTGATACGGTTATATTGCAAGACACACCTTACCTGGGTCACTTTGATGTGGTCTTGGGGAGTTGGTTCACACAGGCCTGTCAGGTCAGGGTTCTGATTTCGTCCATCAGGAAACAAGTAACTATGAAAAAGGGTAACCAACCTTGAGACCTTATTGAAGCCAATTTATCAGTGCTTGTTAATATAGACAGATAACATATCTAGCAATTTGCCATTCTAAAAGGACAATGTTGTATAAATATAAAGCTGAGTCTTAAAAAACTTCAGAAAAATAACACTCAAAATTTCCAAGAAGATATTCTCCAAGGTATAGAGCCATAGGCTCTATATTTTAACTGAGAGGCTGTCAAGCCTCTCCCCCACCCCCCCGCCCCCTTTTTGGTACCTGGGATCAAACTCATGGCCTTGCACTTGCCAGGCAGGTGCTTATGTCACTGAGCTAAATCCCCAGCATGACAAGCCTTTTCTACAAAGGACCATATTAAATAGATGAGGCTTTGTAGGCCACATTAGTATATGTTTCTGACTTTTCTTCTTTTAAACAGTACTTTAAAAAGAAACAATTATCTTGGCTTGTAGGCTGTACCAAAACAGCTGGATCATGGGTCATCAGTTGCCAAATGCTATTTTAATCAACAGATGATCACAGATTAAATTTTTAATTTAAGCTGTACTTTTTTTTTTTGGCAAGGGGTGGTACTAGGAATCAAACTCAAGACCTTGCATTTGTCAGGCAGGTACAGAGTTACTGAGCTAAATCCTCAGCCCGAAGCTGCATTTGCTTCTGACTGAAGATCTGAAATACATTTACTTCCAAGTATAACGAGCTAAAAGGGACCAACTTTGTGGTGATATAGCAAGAAGCAAATTAAACCACTGAGATCACCTAACACGGAGTTTTTAGTACCCGACTACTCAGACACCTGGGGCAGCATTTCTTCTAATTCTACCGTAGAAGATGGTACGTGAAAGAAAATGGATTGATTGATTGATTGGTTTGTTTGTTTGTTTGTACCGAGGATCTAACTCATGACCTCACGCTTGCCAGGCAGGCACTTACGCCATTAAGCTAAATCCCCGATCCAAATGGATTTTCTTAATCATTTTTTAAAATGCTAGTTTTCTAACACCTGGTCAATGGTATTTTTAGTACTTGTTGATAATGTGAATTTCCTAGGGAACAGCAATTGTATAATAAGCAAGAACTTAGGGGCCAGAGATTTAGCTCAATGGTACAATGCCTGCCTGGCAAGTATGAGGTCCTGTGTTTGATTCCCTGTACACCCCTCCAAAAAAGTTAAGAACTCAGTCAACAATATTAGCATACACTACAAAAGCCAAACCTGAAGAAAAGCTGCTGACAAAATGCAGCTGGAATGAAGGAAGTGGAGGTCACTGATGTCACATCATTAGGAACATCTAATAACTCATTTAGCTAATGAAACAATGGACAGTTTCCTGCTAATTGCATTAATTACACTTCTATTATGGACTTTAAAATAAATTAGTATTTAGAAAAAAGAAAATTTATTCATGGTAGTAACTGAAACAGCAGAGAAAAAAGTTAATTTACGAAATCTATATAAACAGCCAGGCCTGGTGGCACAGATCTGTAATCCCGGCACTCTGAAACCTGAAGCAAGAGATCACCTCGAGTTTGAGGCCAGCCTGGGTTACATAGTGAGTTTAAGGTCTGAACTGCATAGTAAGACCTGGTCTCAAAATACATACATACATACATACAAACAAACAGAAGTCCTATGGGCTCTGAAGGTCAGATAAAGCCTGTTAGTGTGTTCTCTGCCTCTCCAGCGGTAGGCAGCAGAAACCTGAGTTATTAATGATACGGTGCTGCAGAGCTTAGGTTCCCGTTGGCAGCAGATGCTAACAGTGAGTACTCACAAGCCTTCCCGAAAGCCGTCGATCAGTGCTTGGAAGAGAGGCTTATTGTGAGGGATCGTCTGCAGAATGTTGCCGTCAGCAGTCACATACCCAATAGCCCACTGACCCAGACGAGTACAGCTCAGCCTGAAGATGTAACTGGGGAAAAAAGGTAATCAAAGGTTTTAATATATGTACTGCTACTCAGGTGGAAGGTAAGACAGAGACAAAAATCAAAGAGATCACTAAGGGTAACTTCTTCGGGGCCTGACGGGTAGCTCGGTGGAACAGTTCTTGCTTACCATGCCTAAGGCTCTGGGTTCAATTTCCAGCTCTGAAAAAGGAACATGGAATAAGGAAAGTAACTTCTTGAATGACTCCAGACCAGACATAAAGGACACCTAAAACTCCATTCTTTTTTTTTTTTTTTAACTTTTTATCGGTACCGGGGACCGAACTCACGATCGCCTGCTTGCAAGGCAGGTGCTTATGCTGCTGAGCTAAATCTGCAGCCCTAAAACTCCATGCTTGTTTGGTTTTGTCTTTTTAGACAGGGTCTCCCTATGCAGCTCAAGCTGATCTTGAGCTCACTTTGTAGCCCAGCCTGGTCTTAAACTTGAAACAATCCTCCTGCCTTAGCCTCCCAAGTGCTGGCATTATAGGTGTGTGCCACCACAGCTAGCAAATATACACATGATTGACTAAACGACTGACGGATTGAGGTACCAGCAATTGATCTCAGGACCTTGAGCTTGCTGGGCAGGTGCTTATGCTTCTGAGCTATAGCTCCAGCCCTAAACTCCATTCTTAAGAGTCTTTTATCAAATCATTTATCAAATCAGGGCTTGAATAAATCAATTCTTCTGATAAAGACATCAATCCTATTGAAGAAATCTTGGCTGCTAAGGCAATAATATAAAGTCATTTATCTTCTATGCTAGTACAAGTCACAAGACAATAAAACTCTGGAGAATAAACCTTATTTGCTTTATGGCACTGACCTGCCAGGTTTGTGAATGAATTTCTGGAGCCGAGCTTTCACTTCATCATATGTCAGAAAAGCCATGTAACCAGGATGCGTTACAGCAAGGCTGTTCCAATTCCTGAGCAAAGAGGACCAGGGCTAAAGAAACAAGAGATGGATCACAGACTATCCGGCTCAGAACATGCAACCAACTCCAAAGAGGGAAAGACGAGAAAAAAACATTCAATTCTCAATGATAAAATCTCAACTGACTGTCACATATTCTCAGTTACAGTGCTACTCTACGAGAACGAACATATACTTTGAAGATGAAAAGCTAAGAAGAATATATGCAACACACAGTGAAATTCAAGAAAATGCAAAGTGGCTCTAACCAGTAGAGAGGTTAAAATAGTAACAGACAAAACTCAGAAAATAGAAAAGGGGCTATGTGTGCAATTAGTGAATTCTAAGTAAATATCTACATAGATTGGCATATATTCATGGAGAAAACATTGAGAGAAAGAAATAAATTCTTTGTAAAGCATCAAGAGGTCTCAATATTAACAGTCAAGAATTTCACAGTATGGGGCTGGGGGTTTAGCTCAGCGGCATAAGCACCTGCCTTGCAAGCAGGCGGTCATGAGTTCGATGCCCAGTACCGATAAAAATGAAAAAGACAAAAAAAAAAAAAAAAGAAAAAAAGAATTTCACAGTAAGAAGAAAAAACTAGAAATACACACTTTAGTCCAGTAACAGAAAACTGGTACCAGCTATTCAGGAACCTGAGGCAGGAGGACTGCAAGTGCAAGGCCAGCCTGGGCAACTTAGGAAGACAACTATCTTAAAATGAAACCTGAAAGAGGTGGGGCTGGGGGTGAGGTAGCTGGGGGTGTAGGCTGGCAGCAGAGTGCTTCCCTAGCACGTGCAAGACCCCAAATTAATCCCTAGTACTGCACCCTCCCAGTTGTTTTTAACATATATTCCATTTTCTGGTACTTCTATAACCATTAAAATGATGTAAAGAATACTCAATAAGAAAGAAGACTATGTGGTTACTTCATGCATATAATACAGAGTATTGTTAAGGTTTTCTTTTTGCTAATATTTTCTAAAATTAATTACACTACACAACCCCTAAAAGTTAGAAAACCTTTCTCTTCAGCAAAGTAACAGTAGACATGTTGGTCAAAATTTTTAATATCTTACCTGAAAAAGTCGTGTAAAGATGTCAAATTCAAAAACAGAAATATAATCATTACAGGTCAGATCAATGGTGGATTTCAGAGCCATGGCCTCGAGTCCAGAACTGATAGGATGAACATCATGGAGGGCCTGTCGAAAGCTCTTCCAAGGGACTATTGTCCTGGGGCAGGGTGAGACAGAAGGCACAAACTGAGATAACAGGAAATTCCCAGCATTGCTACAATTAAGAAAAAGCAAGTGAACTGAGCGTGGTGATGCACACCTGTAATCCCAGCACTAAGAGACTGAGACTAGAGGTTCAAGCCTACCGTGGGCACTTTAGGAACTTGGCACAACCTCTCAAAAACTCAGAGAAACCACGTGCAGCGAGGCATTATTATTAGTCCCAGCACTCAGGAGGCTAAGGCAGAGATTGCTGCAAGTTTAAGGCCAGCCTGGGCTACATAGTGAGACTGTATCTGAAGAGCAGAGAGAGAAACTGAGTTATATTTAGATTGAGACTAGCCAAGGGAACCAGGGATATATTTTTAAACTTTCTAACAATAAGTCTTTTCCCACTGTTCTTTGGCAGAATGGTACAAATTATACACCTTTTATTTCTATGGCTATCTATTCTATTAGAGAAGCATCAAAAGAGATGAGACTATCCTTTTAATGTAACAAATGCATCTGCAGCAAGACATTTACTGTCTAAAAGAATGTATTTAAACTAACTTTTCAAAAGCATGTAAAGCATTCTGTTCTTTGAGGACCCTACATTATCAAGGAAGATAGAAGCCAATAGGTTCAAAATTACCAGATGAATAGAGTTCTAAAAAAGAAAAAGAAAAAACTATTTAGCCTAAGAGTGATTAAATCCCAGGCAGAGCCAGAAGAGATATTATGTAATTCATATTTTTCAATATCTGTAAAATAAATACAATGTCACTGCTTTAGGGAAATTTACATATTTACCTGCCTAAATATAAGAGATTAAATGATGTCTTGAAGTCTTTTCCAATGTAGCTACAGAGTTAAAGGAACAGAGCTAAACTGACCTCTCCCATGAGGCTTTGGGGAAGAGTGGGTGCCAGGGTTGAATGCACACACAAAGTGCACACTCTGCCACTGACTTACACCCTCCGTCCCTCAACTAGGCTTTAAAATTATGAACTAACCTACAGTTTATGTATAAAAGGATTCTGATTTTGAGTGGCGGGTAGGGACTGAGCCCAGGCCCTGTGCACACTAGACAAGCCCTCTGTCACAGACCTTCACCCCCAGCCCTTTTACACAACATAGCCCAGAACCACACTTTGGGAAGCGGGCAGCTCTTAGCAGCACCACCTCTCGGCATGTAGCTAAGGAGATCTTCTTGCTTATGAAGACAACTAAGATATCGTGCATCGCAGCACTTTGGCTATATTTCAACAACAAATGTGAAATCCAAAATGTCCAGTAACAGCAGAATGGATCAAGAGTGTTCAGTCAAAAAGCATGGATTTCAACTGGAATCTGTATGATTTTTCTTTTCTCTTTCTCCTTTTGTTCTGATTTTTGAATCAGGGTCTAGCTATGTAGTTCAAACTGGCCTTGAACCTACTAGGTAGCCCAGACTGGCCTCAAACTTGCAGAATTCTCCTGCCTCAGCCTTCCTAAGCACTAGGATTACAGGTGTGCACCACCATGCCTGGCTTTGATTTCTTTGTTTCTTTTTCCTTGGTACAAGCGATTGAACTCACAACCTCGCACTTGCCAGGCAGGCGTTTATGCCACTGAGCTAAATCCCTGGCCCTGGCTTCGATTTCTTTAAAAATAAGATTGGGGGGAAATGCTGATCCTCATCAAAGCTAGGAAATGAATATACATTTATTTTTCTCAAAGCTTTTCTATGTTTTAAATATTTCATTAATAAAACACTTAACAAAAACTTAACCTTCAATTTTTCACAGTCCAAATTCAGCACTTTGAGACTCACTTTTCTTCAAAAGCTTTTTTCCAAAATTCCGCAGCATCAGCTTTAGTGATCCTAAATGAGTCTCCCTGAAAGAGTCCACTTGGAAAGATGCCTTTCAGTTCTGCCAGCATGTGGCTGAAGATCAGGGACAGTTTGGTTAGGTTTCGCCTATAATGACCAGAAATACAATAAGTAAGCAACGATTAAATTGTTTTTATTTTAAATGCATCAAATTCACCATTTAGAACAAATTTAGTACTGGGGATATGCTCAGCAGTACAGTGCTTGTCTAACATATGTGAAGCCCTGGGTTCAGTCTTGAGCACCAGAAACATTTAATTTACTTATTTATTTTCAAACTGAGTATAGTGGCACATGCCTGTAACCTCAGTACCTGGGAGGTTGAGGCAGGAGGACTGACACAAATTTGAGGTCACCCTGAGCTACACAGTGAACTCCTGAATTACACGTTGAGACTGTATCTCCAAAAAAATCAAAAAAGAAGGAATATGTCCAAATGTATTTTCTGACCAATATTATTCAAAGAGGTATAGAATGGAATGTGCTGCTGAAAACATTAAATAGTCTGGGATATTGTTATCTTTGTTCCAAAACAGCCTTCAGAATTGCAAATGTCAGGAAGTAAGACTGCAATAACTCTCTGGGGTTAGAGCTTAGCAGCACAGTGCCTGCCTGGCAAGCTCAAGTTTGTGAGTTCAATTCCCAGCACTGGGAAAACAAGGCTGCATTAACTACAACTCTTCCCATCTTCCTGTACCAACAGGAATTACCTGTATAAAGTAAGGGGGAAAAACCAGCCATATGTCTTCAAGTTTAACCTTAAAATAGTAAGGCTTAGTAACAACATAAACATGAACAAATTTACTTTTTAGGATGATAGACAATTCAACAAAGAATTTGTGTGCTCAACCACAAAAAACTGTTAACAAAACAAAATGTATTACTTCTACTCTGTATCCGCTGCATTTTATTTTTAAAATGTACTCATCAAACAATGTGTTTGAATTCAAAGACAAATTTAAACTGGGGATTTAGCTAAGCAGCGTAAGCTTGTTGAATATGACTGCCAGTACAAAAAAAGACAAATTTAAAATTCTCAGTGAAAAGAACTGTTTAAATATCCAGTTCTGATAAATATTTTCATTAAATCAGACCAATCCCTCTTGCTTGGACAAAAAAAATCAAAACGTAATATCCAAACCATATAAAAATTTCCATATTAAGAGCATGTGCTGCCCGTGGGGTTTTTTTTTTTTTTTTTTTTGGTTTATTTTTGTCTTTTTGAGGCACGGTTTCATTATGCAGTTCAGGCTGCCCTTGAACTCACTCTGTAGCGCAGGCTGGCCTTAAATTCCTGGTGTTTCTCCTGCCTCAGCCTCCTGAGTGCTGGGATCACAGGTGTGCATCATCACACTGGCCCCACCACCAGTGTTTCTAACAATTGCTAGCTGTGTCCCGGTAATCTCTGCTTAAAGGATTATTATGAAGGTGTTTCACAGTGCCGAGTTAACAGATGGCGTGATTTTAGGTGTGTGCTTTGTTCATATTACCTTTACTTTTAATGTTGTTACACAGAACAGGATGCTTCAAATATAGTAGAAACCAAACTCGCTACCAATTGCTTGTTTTCCCTTGTCCCTATGATCTGTATTATGCATTCAAAAGTCTATTCATCCCATACAAATGGACTGACAATAAAAAAAAAATCAAGTCTAATCATAACTACTGATACCAAATATCTTTAATAAAGCCAGATTTTTCTCTCTTTTAGACATAGGGTCTCACTAGCTCAGTGAATTTACTACGCAGCCCAGGCTGGCCTAGAACTAGCAATCCTTTGGCCTCAGCCTCTGCTGGGATTACAGGTGTGTTGCCAGCACACCCAGATCTTTCTTTTCTACATTATCCTGGAGGCCACCAACAGGGTTATCTTCCTCTTTCCAGGATAAAATGCAACAAATTAACCCTGCTGCTAATCCTCTGCAAACTGCTGGTGTGGTCTAATCAGGTTTTCAATTAGGTCAGTTTTTTGTAGCTGAAATTTTTTTCCCCACTTATAAGCAAGCCTTTCTGTTTGATTTCTGAAGGTACCTACAAAAGTGGCAAAATATTACCTGAAGATTTTCTAAATTCATATGCCAAACAGCTACAGTATAAGATAAAAATATACCTAATTAATCTTCAAACCTCATTAACTATCATTCTCTGTGCAGTTGGAGAACTTTTATTACTGCTGGTTAGAATTTTTATAATTTACCAAAGAGCAAACAAAAAATAGGATTTAAGAATACATCATAAGGCCACGTGCAGTGGTGCACGTCTGTGATTCCAGCACTCAGATCTCCGTGAGTTCCAGGCTAGCATGGGCTACATAGTAAGCTCAAGGATAGCCTGGACCATGTAGTGTAAGACCCTGTCCAAAAAGAGAAAAAAAAAAAAAAAAGCACCACTGGCTGAAGGAGAATCTGAGGGGCAGAATGCTTCCCTGCATGAACAAGCCTGTGGGACTCAATCTTCTGCACTGGAAAATAAATAAGTAAATTAAAAGATTTATGAGCAGGTAACTTGATTTTTAAAAAAACCTGCAAAGTATAAATTACTACCAACAAGTTTACTTTCAAGTCAGCCGGACACAAAACTGTACAATCAGAGGCTTAACCTTCCGATAGCTATATAATTCTTCCAGATAATTCATCTTTAAGATAGGCCAGGGAAGGGGCTGGGGATTTAGCTCAGCGGCATAAGTGCCTGCCTTGCAAGCAGGCAGTCGTGAGTTCGATCCCCGGTACCAATAAAAAGGAAAAAGACAAAAAACAAAACAAAAAGATAGGCCAGGGAGAGCTCATGTGTCCCTAAGAACTGCTTAATTATGGAGAACCTACAGGGGAGAAAAACAACACTCAACAATGGAATGTATGAGAAGATGGAACAGCCCCTGCATCCAGGATTCTACACGCAGACTCAAGAATATTCAGGGAAAAAACTCCATCCACATCACACATGTACAGACCTTTTCTTGTCAGTATTTATTCTCTAAACCATGCAGCACAACAACTTCTTTACATTGCACCTACCCTGCACTGTAAATTACAGTAATTTAGAGATGACTGTATGCAGCCTATGGGACAATATGTGCAGGTTACATATAAATACTATGCTGTTTTTGTAAGAGCCTTGGCCATTCTCAAATTTGCTACCGGGGGGATCCTAGAACCAATCCATGCTGAGACTCAAGTGTGCGTAACACTTTGAGATTAACAGAGCTCTTTCTCTAAAGAAAACAGGTCTGAGTCTTTACTTCGTGACAATCTCTTTCCTTGGTTCCTCTACGGTGGTGTTCTCTTGGTTCTACTTGCTTCCCTCCCCGCTTTAGTTCCCTTCTCAGTTCTGGTACTCTACCTCAGGGCCTCTGCACGGCCGTATCACCAGCTGCCCCTTTAACTCTGAGACGGGCTTGCTGGTCAGGTGGGGCCCAGGCTGGCCTCCCAGAATGTGGTGAGACAGCCGTGCGCCAAGCCCCGCAGTGGCTTTCATCCTTTCTTTCTTCTCATTTTTTAAAGAGGTACTTTCTAAAGAGTTTTCTGTTATTTTTCATTCATTCTCCACATCTTCTTTTCTTTTGCAATCTCAATACCTCAAACACTATTTTGCAAATAATTCCCAAATCTTGGGCCTTGGTAGTTTTCAACAGCCTGCCCTGTTTCTCCAGTAAAATGCCAGCACTTCAAAGCCACATGACCAGAATTAGCTTTTTTCTCTTCTGCTCTCCTCCCCTCCTCTTCTCTCTTCTCTTTCTTCTTCCTTTCCCTTCCTTATCTGCCTGCCTGTCTGTCTCTGTCTCTGTCTTTTGAGACAGGGTTTCACTATGCAGGTCAGGCTGGCCTTGAACTAACTCACTCTGTAGCCCAGGCTGTCCTTGAACTCTCAGTGATCCTCCTGCCTCAGCCTCCCCTGGGATGGCAGGCGTGCACACCACACCCACCTATAATCTTTAAAATCTCCTTGTTCACGTCCCCTACTTCATGCTGTATTTAATGAGAGCATATCCCACTTCCCACGATTTTAAGGGCTGCCTTGGCGTTTCCTATTCCTCTAGTTCTCCATGTCAATTTGCTGACAATGTGTTGTCAAGCCTATCTTTGAATTATGTTATTATTCTAATACAAATTCTGCTGCATCTGCCTACTGCATAATTTAAGTTCTAGTTCTTCTTTAGTCTCTTCCTATGCAGGTCCAATCTTACTACATTCAAGTGCTTTGTAAAGGCAGAGGAGGGAGATAAAGTGCCAGCTGAGCTTGGATCTTCAACTGTAGACTGGGCGGGATCCACCGACCTTCCTAAGCGCTTCCTACGTTAGTAGCACGTTTCAGCCAGCTGAACGCACCGTCTTTCTTTTACTTTTCTTCCTTTCTCTGCTCCCGACCCCTAGCTCATGTTACCAGGGATTGAACATCAATCTGAGCAACGAACCACATCTTCAGTGTCCCTCAGTCCCACCAGATTCCACCTTCTCTTAGATCTACCACCAGTTTAGCTTTTGTGTATTTCAGTCTCTGCCCGTGTGTCCTTAGACTGAGATAATACTCGGTTAAATGTTGCTTTTTAGAAATTTTTTCCTAAGACAGGATCTTGCTGTGTACTTTGGTTTGGTCCTGTTCTCACTATGTAGCCTAAGCTGACCATGAACTTAGAGGACCCTCTTGCCTCAGCCTCCCCAGGGCTGGGTTACAGATGTGTGCCACCACAGTAGGTTCAAACGTGGTTTCTTGCAAAAGCCATGCAAACATAATAAAAATTACCCCAGCACTGCTTTTCCTGAACATATCTTATGCCATTCAAACCCATCTTGTGCTGTATTTACCTGTGCTCACAAACACCTTATCCATTTCTGACTGTATTTACGTGTATGTTCCTCTGGGCACCTCCTCCTACCTTTCTAACCTCCATTATGCCTTCAGGAAACACGTGACGCCTACCATATGCCAGGCTTTGGGGTGAATAAAGCAATAATCAAAATAAAACTCCTCATTTTAATTCTCGTGAGTATTTGGAGGGAAAGAAAGTGCTTTGAGAAATGAGAAGAAAGCCAAGCAGTGTTGCTATGCAGAGAGGGTGCCCGTCCAGGCCTGCGCTGATTTTAACACTG